ATTTAGCATAACAATCAAGCATATAAGGTATAAAATAGCTAAATCAGGTAAGATCGCTGAAACCCCGATACTATCTTCGTTAGAGATCATAAAACAAGCCAGATATTGCAATTATAAATATTACTTAATAGATCGAACTCAACCGATGCAGCATTAAGCATAAAAACAAGTACAAGATCTAAACAAGATGATGATAGCTTCAGAAAGATGGTAGATATGCTGTATAATCTAGATTAATAACAGAATCTAACTTTATCGGCTACTCTCTAATAATAGATATTAACCTATCACAGGTTAGATGGCAAAACTAATGAATATTATGAAGCATATATGGCAACTCGATGATTTACATAAACAAGGTTAGAGTATCATAATGATGGAAGCACTAATCCCGAAAACGCAAGCCGCCATGACAAGTTTACCTCTTATTGAAGATCGAAATCGATGCAGCTCAACCCAAAAGCAAGAACTCGTCGAAACAAACGAAAGTAGAAAAGGTGGCGATGCACCGAGAGTATTATTGAACTGTTGTCCTAAATTACATGGGTTCGGGTTATATTTATACCCGAGATACATGATAGGTCCTTGCCGGACACGACTCTTATCTCTAACAAACTCTAAGATACACATAAGTCTTTACGACAGACTTTTGCTCAATCATATCTCTAAGGAAACTACTTAAAATATCCTAATTAATAGATACAATTGCCTGTCTGAGAGCTTATCTCCATCGTGGCAATCCTTTCGTAGCACGTTGATCAATTCCAGAAACGGTTTTATAACCATCTCAATGAAATCGGCTGTATCGGTTGTCCTCTGTCTGATCCATCTCAGCCGATGCAAACTTCAGCTGATGCCTCCGCAACCGATGCGCACTCTATTCTTCGAACGCAATCCTTTGCCAAATCCACTTTGATTCCAATGCCAAACCTGATTCATGGTTTATCAAATTTGGTCGTTAACACTTCCTCATTTTTATCTTTTTCAAATTATTAAATTGTACACTTTTTTAAAAAAAAAATTATATATGAAAGTTACTTTAGAAAACCATATTAATCCATTTTTTAAATTTATTTTAACTAGTACTCCCTCCGTCCCAGAATATAGCAATCTAGGACTAGATGGCTAGACTAGATGGAAGCCATCTAGTCCTAGGTTGCTATATTCTAGGACGGAGGGAGTAATACTTAATTAATCATGCATTAAGTGCTGCTTTATTTTGCGTGCTGAGCGTGCTTTACTCCCGAACACACCTAGTAGTAGGAGTAACAATTACTACACCCTCCATCTAAAATATAATAAGTTTTGGTTGGAAGAACGTGTCCAAATTCGTAATATTAAAATATGTCACATTATCCAATCAAACTTCTTATGTTTTGAAACAGAGAGAGTAGTAACTTAGCAAAATAAATTTATTTTTTATCCGTTTCACGTATACCTATATGAAAAACTAAAAGATGTCCATTTTATTAATTCTTAATATAATTATTATTTATTTTGCCTACTTCCAATATATTCAGGACTTCTGTGAAACGCATGTTTGATAAAATAAAGGAATAGAAAAAAAAGTACGATTCTGACATGAATTCAAATACACAACACAAGAAAGTACATGAATGATGATTTGATTAGACTGCAGGAAAAACACAAGAATTTGATTAGAGAGATAGACTCATAGCAAACTTTTCATGAGATTGGATCTCATGTTAAAAATCCTCCAAAACTTTTGTGTTGAGGCATTTCTTAGGAATTTCGTAACAATAATTTTTAAGAAAAAATTCTATAGGATTAAAATACTAAAAAAATTATATGTTATTCTTTTAAATTAAAAGAGGTATTCTTATCTACTTTTATAAATTCTGATGAAAAACTTATTTTAGAATAAAAGAGAAGAAAAACTTATTTAGGAATGAAAGAAGTATACAAAGAGAGTTTCCTCGGATAAATGCTATATGAGGCCCTGTTTAGTTCCCACGCAAAAACCTTTTACTCTGTCACATTGAATGTTTGGACACATACATAAAATATTAAATATAGAAAAAAACTAATTACATAGATTGTGTAAATTGCGAGACGGATCTTTTAAGTCTAATTGCTCCATAATTTGACAATGTGGTGCTACAACAAACATTTGCTAATGACGGATTAATTATGCTTAATAAATTTATCTCGCGGTGTAATTACAGGCAGAATCTATAATTTGTTTTATTACTAATCTATGTTTAATACTTTAAATGTGTACCCGTATATCCGATGTAGGATGGTTAATTTGCACGTACTTGTATCATACTAGTAGGGGCATTTACAATTAAATTAAAGGCATTGCATGCAATGCATGCAGATGGCACGTAGTTAGGAATTGAAAGAGATGGTCGTACGTGCATGCATGCATATATATCCAAATGATTAGGAAAGTGGCCCAAATCCCACGTAGTAGGGAAGAGAGATGATTGTTGCGTGGGACCGGCTGACCTTTAACATATTCGGCCAAGTGGCCTTGTTCTAATGCATTGAAGGCGGCATCTCTTCCTACTATTAGCTTATCTTAAAATCAACGTATATAATAAATTAGCAACATTGGCTATAATTTTTTTCACCTCTCTTTATCTCTCACTTATACATTTAATGTATTTGTCTTGGTGCTTGTGATAAGCTAGCCCTTGCATGAGAGCTAACACCCTTGATTTTTCACTATCTCTCTCATTCACCTAAGTTTATAGTAGGCTTATAGCTCACTATTATACTCTCTTAGTCAAACAGTGTTCAAGAACATACTGCTCAATTGCTTGGAGCACCTCGCAAAGGGTCCACCAGAAACAATCCGATCACCCATATGGGGCACCAGTGCGCGGACACCCACGTATGAAATACACATTTACTATTTTTTTAAAAAAACAATAAATTATGAGTATATACCTAGGTATACGAATTTGATTCATACCTATACCTAACAACAAAACAACTCAAATTCAACTTTATTTCACAATCCATTATTAAATACCTACTCCTACTTAATTATATATATTTGAATGCTATATACTTAGAGTCAAAATATAACAAAAATAAGTGTTCAAATTTAGTTCAAACTTATTTGAACTAGTTAGTAAAGAAGTTAATGTTCATACCTAAATATTTTTTTTAAAAAAAATCATATTCATTTGAATTGGGTATATACTCAATTTGAATCTTGATGCCCAGGTACCATGGTGCCCCAGTTAATTTTACTATGTTCATGTGTGCTTGGCATAGATAATCAAGACAATAAGTGATTAATTTGTAGTACTACCTCTAAAGTGTGTTGTTCTCAGTTTTAGGCCATCAGGAGCAGGAATTGTTTGAGAAGTGGATGTTTTGGGGAGACCACGATGTGTTGTTCTCAATATTAGGCCGTCAAAAGAGCAGGAATTGTTTGAAAAGTGGATGTTTTATGCCGTTTAGTTGATTGTTAGTAGTGGTTGAGGTATCTAGACTTTATAGTGAGGTTTCCTGTTAGTTTCTATAAAATGTTTTCGGGTTGTGTTTTGTTGGATATGTAGCTTTGGCAAGAAGAATCGGACTACTGCTGTTTGGGTAGTTAATTTGATTCAGCTGGATAGTGCCTTTTGAAAGTAGATTTGGTACAATGTTCTTAATTTGAATGTCAAGATTGATGCGAGTATAAAATTATGGTCGCATGCTGCAAGATGAAGAACATATGGAGAATGTCAAGATAGTATTATATTGTTCTCCTGCTGTTTTATTTTTTGGCAAAATTTACTACACGACACGCAAAAAACGTGTAATTGGCTGAGGGACACCGAAAAACGTGGCACCGCTCATGGACACTACAAAAGTTGTGTAATTGGCCGTAGGATACCGGATGTATTATTTTATCATTTTCGGGATGAAAGTGGTGAGATTTTTATTGAAATGTCTGGATTGCCTCCCGAGTGTCGACGACATCCAGCGCTGAAATTCGGTGGGGTGAGCGTCCAAGAAATCAAATTCGGTGGGGCTGGAAACGGATCACTTCCTCCCTTGCCCCCTATCCTCTCGCCGTTGGGAGCTGGCTGCCACCTCCAATGGCTAAACCCCTCCTCCCAGCTACCGCTGCGGCAGCAGCAGCTCGCCTCCCCTCCCGCCTCGCCATAGGCGCGGCCCCACCTCTCCGCGTCCTCCCCTTCTTCCTCTACCCGCCGCCGCCGAGCCCTGTCATCAGCAAGGGCAGGGATGTCGAGGACGCCACCGTCGGCTGCCCCGTCTGCGGCGTGTTCATGCAGGACGCCGACCCCAACCTGCCCGGCTTCTTCAAGAACCCCTCCCGCCTCTCTGACGATGAGATGGGGGAAGACTGGTCGCCTCTTGCCGCCGAGCTTGATGGATTTATTGGAAATGACGAGGGGAATGATGTGCCGTCAGAATCTGATCTTTAGAAAGGAAGGAGGAGTAGAGGGGGGCATTCCCATCATTTAGAAATTTCTCTCCCCTCTTTCAGCCCAAAAATGATAAAATAATGTGTCCGGTGTCCTATAGCTAATTACACAACTTTTATAGTATCCATGGGCAACGCCACGTTTTTTCGGTGTCTCTCAGCCAATTACACTTTTTTGCGTGCCCTGTAGCAAATTTTACGCTTTTTTTTTTTTTGGCAATCTTACTGCCTGCATAGTCTAATCCTATAGAATCTACTCGTACTGTCAGGACAGCCTTTGTTTTGAGGCGAACTTTGTACTAAATTTTTAGAACATGTCCATTGTCAAGATTATCTTCTTGGTATCTCGCCACACAATTTTGGTCAGATGGGAAGCAAGGCATAGCATAGGTTGGTACTAACTAGAACTCACATGGTGCATTGATCATGTGGTCTTGTACTAGTTTTATTTTCATTACGTTGGACTCACCTGGTGCGCCGTTGATCACTTGATCATCCACAAACAGCAGATGAAAAACACACCAGGTACAGGAGAACCTTGATTATTAACTGATCAGTCGAACGAAAACCGATCTGTTCACAGTTTCAATTAGAGAGGTTTGCCAACCAATTTCATTAAGATTTGGAGGAAATACAGTAAAATGTTACAATGACATTACAATACCGCGGTAGCCAGTGAAGGACCCCATCCAACCAAGAACGAGAAAAGAAAGCAGGGCTAAACCCCGCAGATAGTCATGGCAATTACTCGCGAAATTGGGAGAAAATCCCAGCCACCCCCCAGACAGCAATTTCCTCTTTAATATCCTCCGCCAGTTGATCCAGCGTTTTGGACACGTGTTGGAAAATTTTTGCATTACGCTCCTTCCAAATCAACCAACAAATTAGCATGAATGCACTATCAAAATCCGTTCTGTAGCTTGTCCGGAAACAGCGTCTTGTTGCCAACCACCAGTCAGCCAGTGTGTTCTCCTCATCTGCCGGAGTTTGGAAGCTAGCATTGCACCATCTTCTTTCTGATAATTCTCCACACCGCCGCCGTGAAGTCGCAACCAACAGGTGGTGGCAGTCCTCGTCTTGAAGCTTCAAGCTAGACATGCCATCGTACATGTTATCAGGTCTATGCCAGAACGGCATATCCAGCACAAAACCAAGCCAAGCGAATTAAGGGCAGAAATGACTATCTTGACGTAGGGGAAATGGTTGTGCTCCACAACAATATTCAGGGGAGCACCTACACAAGAAAGGGAAATAAAAAACAAAGAAAATGGTTTGATTCCTTCCATACCGTCTATCTTTCATATGTAAGAACTTGAGTTAAAAACCTACCATACCTGCCATCTCATGCACGCTTCTTTAACATCTTCAGTAGTGTAAATGCAGCAGTGCCAAATAGCCTTCTGGACTGATGGATGCTTGTTAGTTGTGGGGTTTTTCCCAACAAACCAACATCAACTGGAAAAGACCCTTTATCCTTCAGTTTATTTCCAGAACCACCGGCCATATAAAGCTTTGGAAGAGATGGCTGACAGTCATCCATGGGCGCATAGGATGGGAAGAGTTTTACAGTAAAGCGAGATGTTAACACTGATCTCCAATATGGGAAGAACATATTCCTTGTTTGTTCAAGTTCTTGTCTACTTGGTAATTTATTTCCAACAGCCTAGTTCACAAATCAATCAGAATCTCCATGTCAGAAGCCATGCAACAAAAGTTGACAAAACAAAGACACAACACTCTGTGTAAGTCTAAACATATCACTGTTGTTTTCTCAATGACTAATCACAAGGTAATCAATCATACAATCATCTAGGAACAGTTGACTGGATCCTAAAACTTTACGGAAGGTTAGTTTGTCACTTTTAGACATTGACCATCGAGGACCATACATCAACATGCCAGGGCTGGGCAGGAGACTTGTTGCCTGGCAGCTCTAGGCCTATAGCATTATATCAGACGGGAACGGGTATAAATATAATAGACTGGAGAATTCTAGCAATGCCAGATACATATGGGAGAATTCAAGCAAAGGCTCAAGTGGCCAGGTAGTCAGATAAACCATTGCTGCCAGATAGTCAGTAACAAAGTTTATGAACACAGTTACAACCTAATGTCTCCCAGGGTTATAGTCTTGTATTTTTTTTACTGCTATATCAATAGAAACTTTGCACTGTTTGGTGCTGTTCGTTCGAGAAAAAAGAACAGCACAATTGAGAGTTGAAATGAATTACTGATGTGGAAAGGTCATGCAAGTAATTAGTACTAATTTTCAAAAGAACTTGATAATGTTGGTGTTTGGTTCAAATATTGCTTAGCCAGGATCTAACACAGGTAAATGAATTAAAATCTGAATCCAAATAATATCTCTACGAAATAATACATTTCTATTCCATCTCTGCAATCCAAATGCCAATTGCAACCACATACAGCAAAACCCCCTGCATCTCAGGTGTCAAAACATGCGTATAAATTACTAGCACAATGACAACTAAACCGTAATAAACCGGTTGTGAAGTTCTTTAAATTAGACAATCCAGCCATTCCATAAGCATAACAATTGGTCCAGACTGTACAAACCACAGATACTAGAGTTTACCAAATCAGGATTATCCTTAAATCTTGCAACCAAATCAGATTTCAAACATAACAAAAAGAACATATGTGTATTTTAGTCCTTAAATCAACCAGTCAGCAATATTTAACTTCACTGGTCCAAAATAACTTCTCCATCCAAAAGAACTGATTTTTTTTGAGACCTTTGCCCCTGACAATCTCAACATGCAAAATGGCAAAAAGAAAAAAAGGGAGGCAGTTTCCATATACTTACATTTTTAGCTTCAACATTCCGATTAGGCGATTCTCCAGATGCCTTGGTCATGCCAGAATCTTCTGTTTCACACAATAGAATTATTAGGGCATATTTTAAGAAATTTGAGAAAAGTATCTGATATGTTGTCCTGTCCTGTGAGAACAGATACTCACCATGTTTGCACTTTAGCACACTATCTGACTCTTCGCAGTCATAGGGACAGCTTCAAGAGCACGTGGACAAAAATAGTTAAAATATATACATATAAGTCTGAATACAAAAGAAACGTTTTGTCATGGAAGCATAAGACAATCGAGTCAAACCATTTCAGGTCTCCTATGTTAATTCCTTTTCCAGTAGGAGCAACGCCATGATCCTTGAGAATTGATGAAATATTTCCAAGGACACCCCGGTGAGATACCTACATGATATTTTTTTACTGTTTAGATAAAAGTGAGCAAAAATAAAACACATATCACATCTAGTAACCATTAATGATAATAATAGTTCTAAACACTAAGATGTTGTCGTTTTTGAAACAGTGGAGACCATTGGTACCCGAGAAGATGGAAGGATCAACTGGAAGAAGCCAGGGGGTAGGGGCTTGCTCGATGCCAAAATTCGACAAATCCACGCAGGAGAAGCAGCTGGATGAAGGCAATGAAGAAACCAAAGACTGAAAGCATGGGTTGATGATTACGCTGTTTCTGTTTTCCTGGCACAGGCTATGTCTGTTCAAGTGTTAAACCTGGGATGTCTTAGGGCAGTTTTTCTGTTTTAGATACCCTGTGTTTGTCGGGTGTTTTAGCACTCTTTTGTTAAGCTGGTGTTCCCAGCAGCTGTATCAAATCTCTTTTAAGCTTTGAGTAAAGCCGGGCTCTCAGAGCCTTTTCTCTAAAAAAAAAGGCATCATGTTCTAAAAATTGGTGAATCCTCTGAATTTTTGCAGAGCAAATTCTTTGCATCTATCTCTGCAGCAAATACAGGTCTAGTATAATTTATAGATGTGTTAATGCAGAAACAAATGATAAAAGGAGGAAATCCAAGCCGTTGGATTGAGATTCAATACATAGATAGTGTTTGACTTGAATAATTTGGTCCAAAATAACAATAGGACAAAACAAGGCAGATTGATCAGATATACTTTTCTTTTCCTTTCCTTGCTAGAAAAATGTTGTCAGGCCAGAAAAGCCAACCAATGTATATTACTGTCCCTTTCGCTGTAGGGGGCATCATGATGAAACAAACTTTATAAACTTTAGCAATTAACTGATGCAAGTATCCATAGCCTTCAAACAAGTTATACCCTTATATTGGTATTCAATATAGTTTGGCATAAGCATGAATTTGCACTCACGGTAATCCTTTGCAAAATGTACCACCAAAAATTCAGCTTTGGACGCCGAGACTATGGGACAAGGGCCATATTTTTTTTTAAATGAAAGGAGTAAATCAAACAAAAGGGGTATTTATGCTATGACCTCAAAAAAATTTGTACCTCTGAATGAGTCTGGATATATTCATCAAGAGCTTCACCAGCTTCAGAAATCATAGAATTAAGCACCAATGCATTACGAAAAAACATTCGCATATCATCCTGCTGTTTACGTGCCTTGCTATTTTTACCACCTGTTAGTCCAGGCCCTTCTGTTTCTATGGAAATGATGGATCCCGTAATACGATCCTTGATAATATCAAACCCACTCAGGTTATGGTTGGTGTTTCTCTTAGAGGAAGCACATGTACGAATTTTCCGTTGAGCTGCAAGGAGCAAAATAGCTGCATGGACAAGCTTTCCCTCCTTAATGTAATTCCATAGTTCATCAAGAACATTATCTGTGTAGTCTGCAAGCAGTCTGGTCGTGTCCAAGAAGATCTTCTGCAAAGGCCATCAATGAATAACAGAATTAATTTCTTATCTCCTAGCATGTGTAATCAGTTGACTTCAAAATTATCAACAACCAGTGACGAATCAACAAACAAATTAGTAAACAATAACCTTTAACTGCACATAAACATGAGTCAGTAAAAAAACACAAACCTTCACCATAAAAAAAACACACATGCCTGCTGACACGTCAACATGAATGCAAAACGAAATCACAAGACTACAGTTGTCTCCCACACAAATGGAAATACATAGATTGGATGTTCTGAAGTCCTCTTATAGCAGAAGTAGATATTTGGCATGAGCTCAACTACTTACTATTGTTATGTAAGCAAAGTAGTAATTGTAGCAAGAGATTTCAAACAAACCATCTCAGGCAGACAAAGCAGATGGACAAGCTTGTAGATGAAGTCAAAATCCACTTGTTTGTGCTTCTGGTCAGTTAATAGATTGTCCTCAAGATACTTGTGCATGCAAGTGTTCTCAATGGCAACATGGAGTGGGAGGAGGCCCTCGATGACCTTTTGGCCCGATGTGCGTAAATTCGCCGATGCACCATAGCGAAGCAGCAACTTAATCATGTCAACAGAGAAAGTTTCAGCAGCTTGATGGAGGGGGAAGTACCCATAGTTACTCATGCAGTTGGGGTTGGCACGCATCTCGTAGAGCTTAGGCGCCTTGCCCTCTAAAACAACCTTAGCACAACGCAGGGCATTGTGTGCAACAATGAAGTCGAATGTTTGAGGGGTGATGATCAAACCCCAAGCCATGCAATCCAAATTTTCCCCATACAGTCTGAGGAAGCTCCGAACACTATCTCTTTTAAGGATGAGACCCAGTTCACTGGATATTTGACAAAATTTAAAGAGCACCTCCTACAGTAATATCATTCCATGTTTGAGAAAGGATTAAAAGGTAAATCTACCAAACTATTCAAATACTGTACCAGAAAAACAAAGCGCGTAGTAAAGAGAGTGATAGTAGAAAATTGACCTATGAAATATATTAAATGAAAAGAATAAAAAACCTGAGGAGTACGGTCTGGGGCAATTATATTTGTGGACCTGGAGGCAGCAAGTGCAGCCCGTACTTGAAATCCATACTGAAAAGGAGGATTCAGTCAAGAAAGAAAACAGATAGGTAAATTCTAAAGAAAGGGATGGACTGGGATATCATAAGAGCAGGTAGTTTTTGTACCTGTTTGATCAATTGAACCTTGCTCGTAAAGTCTGCTGTGGGTGGAAAAGGAGGACGAGGAGGATCCGGGGGGTCCCATGGGTCCCACTCAACTGCATCTGATGACTCTGATATATCTGTTCTTTCACCATTATCTTCAGAATGAACAGCTTTCACAGCATTGGTTTTGTCGAGAGTTTGCATTGGCATTGCTGAGTCAAAAAAAAAGTAGCATGTAATTACAAGAACAAACAATCTGGCATGCTGCTTGGATGTGACTTTTAGTGCACTTCTGATAGGCAAAAATGAAATGCATAGAATAAGTGAGGAAGTTCAAATTTAAGAGAGGCAATTAGATAATGGGAAGTCATCTACCATACAAGTATTGCAGACTACTGAAGCAAACAATTGTGGCAAACATGTAAATCGCCTAGCACTTAGTAGACATTCATTTTTTATAGTGTGCCATTTTATTGGCTTACCACTGAACAGTTCAATTGCTAGAGGCTACCCCCATTTAATTTACATGATACAGATTCTTCACTAAATATTCCTTTGCTTCACAATATCTATCCAAGACCACCATGTGCACAAAACAAGTAATCACTAAAGTGACCATGCATGCTCATTACTAAATGACATACTGGACAGGCACTTGAACCTCATATAAATAAGGGGGTTAGGAGTGAAAAAATAATGATAACTAGGAGATCAATTTCCTCAATGGATAAACAATGCAAGCCAACACATGTCAGTCGAATGGACAACCATTACAGAATGGATGGGGTACGTAAAAGTATATGTTTTCTGTGGTGTCTTCTGAACCAGGCTGCCAACTATTCTTTAATCCTTTAACAGAAAGAGCTTGTGGTTGAAATCGTGCACTCTACAGCTTACACCCACTCCCCATCACTTTAGAAAGATCTCTTGTGGATGAATGTACTAAGACGTGTGTGTTGTTTTTGAAAAAGTTGTATCCTCTGTACATGTGTGCGTGCAACAGATGAAAAGGTGCATCTTTCTAGAAGTCTAGAACTTAGCGGTGTTGTAGAGAAGTTGTATGAAGCCACATATAAGGAATGGATGGCATAACCTTGTACTGACTAAGCCGCATAAGCTGCCAGTTAAGCTGTACAGGCGCTACAAGGTGGGTAAGCACACGAATTTTCCAATTACCGGTTTTCAAGGTTGGAACTTTTATTATTATATCCACTCGATATACCACATCTGTAGATACTATGTTAGTCGCATTATAAATTGGACCGCAGATATTGTAGGACTATGAACTATGTGCAGTTTAGAGAACAAAATTATAACGTGGATTACTTAGAGCATGAACAACCAAGCCACAGTATAACATTATGATGAACCATGGAGAGTAGAAGGAACCTAAAGTTAACTGCCAAGGGCAGGAACCAATGTAATTCATATAGCTCAAGTGAAAAGTAAAGGTTTCAGACTTGGCATGATGAATACTAACTTGGAACCTGAGGGTAGCAAAACAACAACTCTCAGATAAAACCAGAGCATGTAAAATAATATAGGACAACGCCATTCGGATTAGTAACAGAGAGTGTGGGATTGGTAAATACTAGTAAACATCACAAATTTCAAAAATCTCCTGGATAGGGGATGTGGAAACTTGTTGAGGGAGAAAAAAAAATTTTTAAAAAAACTTCCTTTCCGAGTGACAATTAAAAAGTAAAGTTAGATCGAGTGGGTGCATAGCTGCAAAGGAGGGAGGGGGAGAGGAATCGCACCTAGGGTTTGGCCGTATGTGTTGGGCCGTGGCGTGCACGGATCGTCGGCGGGGACGATGGCAGAGGAGAGGGAGAGAAGGGAGGGAAATCGTCACTGACCTTTGGCGGCCGGAGGGAGGGGGAATCGCCACTGACGACGAACGAACGAAGAGACCGAGGCCGAAGCTTTCCCTGCCTTCTTTTGCTTTCCGAGGAGGAGGAAGGGGGGGGGGGGGGCGATAACGAGAATTCCCCTGCCCGTCCAGCAAAAGCTTATTATTTGCAACATATTTTTTATTTTCAACTACATATGCACACGTAAGTTGGAAATTTTATTATTTTCAACATATTTTTTTATTTTAAAAATAAACTATCTCAAAACTTTTCTTTTCTAAAATTCGAAGCTTTTTTTTGTCACCACGGCGTGGCGAAACTATGCTGCTACGCTACCCGATGTACTATTCCATAATCAATCTGATTTCTAAGTATATGCAAACACACACGCACAAAAACATTACTCTCTAACACACGGCTCAAAATAAACATAAATCAACAACACATCCTCTGATGGTGACACATATGTTCATACTGGTTTCAGATCCTCAACGCGAGGTAATACCCTAGTCCAGCTGTAGGTAGATTGGATCTGCGTCCAGTGAATATGAGTGAGTCTCTAACCCCTTAGGGTTCATTGCCGGCGCCCCCTTATATAGTGATGGGGGCATTTGCCGGCATGCTCAATATAGTATCCCTTATAATCTGGGTACATACCATCTATATACAGATACAGGATAGGTTTCCTCAGTCGCTATCCCTTCCCGTGTATTACAAATGATCGGGTGAGCCTACGTCACTCAGCCCACCCCATGTATTGTAGCCAAATACGTCCCGTAGAGTACTCAGATATAATGTCCCTCACACGTTCCTTTCTCTAAGTCTTTCCTCATTCCTCCCCATCTCATGTGTTCCTTTCCTCCCGTTTCCTCTTTTCCCTCCTCGATAGCAGGCGGCAAGTGTGACAACAGGAGAGGAGTGCGGGAGCGGATGACCTCAGGTGTGGCAGGGCCTCAGCAGCTACAACGGTGGCAGCAGTCAGGGATGGACCCAGGTTTGGCCTAGCCCCAGGGGTAGCTAGGGTTGTCAGTGAGCCGAGCTCGAGTCGAGTATGGTTTGAACTTCGAGCATATAAACAGGCTCGAGCTCGGCCTCGAGCTTTTTCGAGCTTAGATTTTAAATAATCTGTACATATGAGAGCGTGGGAAATCACCATGGTACTGGACTTGCACACGCAGCAGTAGACTTGTGCTGGTACTATTATCTTTTTAAAATATGATGTGACTGGTAATATTAAGGGGTCAGGGCCTGCACGCGGCACGCATGCACCCATGCTCGGTTTCTATGTAGCTTTTTATTGGGAGTTGGGAGATGCATGCTCGGTTTCTATGTAGCTTTTTATTGGGAGTTGGGAGATGAGTAGTACTCCCTCCGTCCAAATTCGTTGTACTAAGATATATCACATCCAGTACTAGGTTGGTTTTTTATGGGATGGAGGGAGTAGTAGTAGTCGCTGCTGCATGGAAAATTTTAAAAATGTGAGAGACAGTAATGCCAGCTGAAAAAAAAAACGTTGGGAATCTAGGCTCGACGAACTATTCGAGCTCGTCTCGTCAAGCTCACGAGCTTGGAGGCAGGCTTGAGCTCGGTTCGGATTATTCACGAGTCAAGCTCGAGTCGAGTCGTAGCGAGCCAAGCTCGAGCAGCTCACGAGCCTCGAGATTTTTTGACAGCCCTAGGGACAGCCCACTGTATATTGGACTAACGAGCAAATTACATGGTGAATAATATATGTCTCTATATGGGCTTTAAATCCTAGGCTCTGAGCCATGGTCTAGGTGCTCCAGGACCTAGGTCCATCTTTTGACCACGGGAGGCGGGTCCAGCAACGCCAGCCTCAAGAGGGGCAGGTCCGCTACCGTCGGAACCCAAGGCCGACGGTGACAGTTGTCGGACGACAACAGCAGCGGACTGTGACAACGGCGGCAACGACTTGGACGGATGAGAGCTTGAGTTCCGGTTTTAGTTTTTTCTTGTGATTTTTTTAAGTGGACAGCTGTGAAAATCATTTTTGCACGCGGTTACACCTCCCGTTTGAGAAAATACCAATTTTCGCAAACACCTTTTGGCAATATGGCCGCTAGCCGTTTTCAAAAATGTGCTTTGGCCATTAAAAAAAAAAGGAACCGTCTATCTGTTTGTCGACAGATTTTTGGGGCAAAATCACCCACATTTTTCCAGCCCTTAGATCTACATCCAATGCATAGAAAAAAAATAACTAGAAACAAACTTTTTACCGTGTGGGCCTTATGGAAACAAAAAATAAACAACAATTAGGCTGAAAATCAAGCCCAAAACACAGAGCCCAATAGAAATTAGACACGAAATTATCATTCAAAACTTTTGACACAATACAAATGGTCGGAACCATACAAAAGAAAAAGAAAAAAAATACTCATACTAGTGTAGAAAACAGATTCCACAGTACAAAACTAGGCCATTACTAACTCAGAACTTCATTAACATTTTTCATTGTGGCATGTGTGCATAGAGAGAACAAAATGGAATCTCACAAAAATTGGTAAAGAATTTTACAAGCTCATTCAAGGAGAAAACATCTGTCAGAAATCACTGCAGAGAAGACATGTATCAATCAGTGATATTTGCTCTAATACCTTTAACAACCGATTTGATCAAACGAGCACATCTCATATGTTGAGCTTGAAATGCCACCATGAAACTCAGCTTCTGCCTAAACAGCACCTGTCAGGATTGCAGAAAACAGTGCATCAGTAAACTGCTAGGATATGCAACGAGATATCTGCAAAAATAGGGATTTTCTTTGTGCACGAAAATTTTCTTTGTGAACCAAAGAACTGAAATTAGATAATCCTACCAAAATTAACTCTGAATTAAAAATTCATAATAACTATAAAAATGCCCATCTAGCAGGGCATCAGCCTCCCTAGATTCGATATATACATGGTAATAAGGACATTCCACCGTGACAATTTCAGTTACAAGAAAAAATGAAGTTCTAGCTACCAATAATCAGTTACAAGAAAAAATAATAAAAATTACATATGTAACTAAGGTATACTTCCACTGTAACTGGACTGTAAGTGGTGATGAGTTGAACTGTAAGTATGATCTAAATTGTACTAGTGATGGATGGTGTTGCATGAAACACAAGGCAACACAGATAAATAGAAAATAACAGTACAAAACTTGGTCTACATTACTAACTAGCAAAAACAAATATATCAGGCACAGATCTAAGAAGATGAAGATGCCTAGGGTTCCTCAAACTACGAGTCCCTCACTTTTCACACGATTTATTGATAAAACCAATATCAAAAAGTAACATTCTAATTACCAACTCAGTTACAGTGAAAGATAATAGAAATTACAACTATAAGTGAGGTATATTTCCACTGTAACTGCACTATAAGTGCAATACAAGTCCATCACTTTTCACACAATTCATTGATAAAACCAATATCAAAAAGTAACAATCTAATTACCAACTCTCAGTTACAGTGAAAGATAACAGAAATTACAACTGTAAGTGAGGTATATTTCCACTGTAACTGCACTATAAGTGATGATAAGTTGTACTGTAAGTGTGTTTTAAGACTACATGAAACCTAAAATATTGACTTCATCTCATGAACAAAATTCATAACTGAAAATACCATTTGAAAACTTAACTAAATCACCAGATGTAAGAAGTGGGCATCAAATACAGATTTAGATCAACCATTCAAATGCCTCAAGAGATATTTTTTTTCTGGGGTATTTTCCTAGGAGAAAACATCTAAACGTTGCAACAGAAATAAAAAAAACACTGATAAACCATAAAAGGCACAAGTTCTCCTTTTATGTTTGAATGAAAGGAATTAATAGACACATAAGAGTTATGTCCAGGCAACACTTATTATGCAAAAATCAAGCAGAATCTACGCAAAGACAAAGAAAAGAAAGTTAATGTTGGTTGCATACACTAACAGGCAACATAAATGAAGTGGCCTCACACTTGCAATGACGCAAGAAGGCTAGCTAATTTCAGTAAAGACATATAGCTAATTCAAAAATGGATGATGACCGTACACAGCATTGATTGGAAAAAAAAAACCTATAACACAAGGGGAAGCAGTACAAACTCACACATATTCTAACTTTTGCATGCACAACTGACAAAAAGAGTCCCTAGGGTTCCCAAACAACAAGTGTCCTAGTTTTCACACAAATCAGTAATAAACCAATGTCAATCAATTACAAAATCTAACTACCAATAGTCAGTTACAGCGAGATATAACAGAAATTACAGCTGTAAGTGAGGTATATTTCGACTGTAACTGCACTGTAAGTGGTGATGAGTTGTACTGTAAGTATGTTTTAAGTTAGAACTATTGTAATTTCAGACTGCATGAAACACACAATATTTAAGTTAGGTAGTCAGATTACAACATGATTTCTAATGCTTTCAATTACATACACCAACCATACTTGTGCTAAATTACGTGCAGGGGCTGATAGAACAAAGGCTCAAGTAACAAGGACAGTTGAAGGTTAGAATATCATGCTTACCTATTATTATGCATCATATGTGATCTTCGTAGAATTTTTTTTTTTTGACCAGGATCTTCGTAGAAAATTTCATCTAGCACAAATTTATATATAAAAAAATTAGTCATGACACATGTAGTAAACAAAAATAATCTAACTACCTACATTCAGTTACAGTGAGAAATAACAAAAGTTACAACTGTAACTACGGTGCATATGGACTGTAACTGGACTATAACTGGAATCATGCTTAACTTTCTCCAAAAATTCAGTACTCATGCAATAGCATCAGCAAAAAACAAGTATAAATAGATACTATACTGATTTAACAGAAGCTATAAATTTGATTGTTAGGCTCGACAATTGCCATGCTTTGATAAGACTGGTTAAACTCGACGCTGTGACCACTTATATTTACCGAACTGTTCACATGCAGCGTGCAGAGGCCAACCTGAGAAGCAAGGGAAAAATTGTAAAATAAAAGAAATGTTGGTCAGTTTTGCAGAGTGCTCAAGACTGACAAACATGCGTTGTGTTGCAGCTAAAAGTAAGTGCTTGGCTTTGCATGGCAGGCACTGGCCTTCATCTGAAAGAATCCGTGCTATGACCAGTGAACAAAGAAGATGGTAGAAATACACACAGGAAAGAAATCAGTATTTAGGGAATTCTTGTTAGGACCGGATGGGCTATGGTTGGACCGTTACAACAATCCTCCAATCCAGCCCAAGAAGGCCCAGTTGGAGAGGCAACAAAAGCAGCAGCAGCAGGAAGGTTGGGGGCATCGATTGATCACTTGGACTTGGTGGAGCTGAAGCTCTCGACGGCGGCGGCGACCTGGGCAGCCGGTGGGCACCCTTGTCGATCTCTCTCCCCTACCTCTCCTCCTACTTACAGCCTTCTCTCTCAGCTCTAGAAGCTTCCAGAATTTGTATTACTTAGTTTCTTCTTCTCTTTTCATCCCAAAACAATTGTTCCTTGTATGGTGGATGCTTGCTATTAAGTTGGAAGAAGTGGGTTGTTAACAATCTGGTATCAGAGCCGTTCGGTTCATTGGGATTCTTGTCATGGAGGTGTTGGGGAGGCAGCCATGCAAGAGGGAGCAGGAATTGGGTTGGGGAAGTTTTCATCCAAGCAGCGCCCACCAACTGTTCGATGGAACGCCAAGCCAACCTGCGATGTCCAAGAAAGATCAGAGCATATCTGAGCCCATTCCCATCAATTCCACCATGAAAAAAGAGGAGAAATGGCTAGATGAAGCTTTGGATCGGATATTGGAGAAGTTTGAACAAATGGAGGCCAAGCGTAGGTGTGATGAGAAGATTGATCGAATTTTGAAGAAGTTGGACGAGATAGATGCTAATAGGAACAAGTTCTTCGAGGAGATGGGTGCCTCTATCAAGGCGACCACTGCCGTACTCAATGCTGGATCATCTCTACCACCCATGGCACCGTCTCCTCTAGCGCCTACCAAGTGTTTGACGGAATGCTCCAACAACAACATCACTTGGGTGGCTGCGAATTCAAGTCACATTGGTGAGGTGCTTGCTCCGATAGCTGCCTGGGAGCTAGGAGACAGAAAGGACATGGACCAAGCTCCCTACATTGTCACCAAGGACCTCCTCAAGGTCACGCCCACCAAGTGTTCGACGATATGCTCTAGCTCTGACACCAAGCCCGATCTCACTGTAGTTGCTCCGGTTACTTGCACCACCCTCGCTGTGTCATCAATGGTGTTGTTAGCTTCTGACGGCACCACTGGCAACACTAACATTGACGCCCCTGTTTGTTTCAAGGAGACGCATGCCATGTGCTCGATGGTCGGCCTCGACGTCAATGGTGGCAATGACCAAGCTGTGGTTGCATTCCAAACCAAGACAGTGGTGTCCAAGGACGTTTCAGCATCCGTCCACCCCATGGGCAACCTAGCAACCAGATTATTCGTTGACAAGATGATGGTACAATGTGAGCTGCAGCCAGTACCTTGTGAAACGTTCAACTCCTATGACACAAGAGTACATATCTTGCAACCTTGGCCGCCGACAATTAAAGTAAGTTGGCTTGCACTGATATTTATTGAAATTGGAGTAGCTCACACTGATATGATGGATAAAGTGTTGCATTGGGCTGATCTAAAACCATGGCCTCCACCTTCGGGAAATGGCAGTGTGCATTTCCTGATCAGTGCACATGCAAGTGTTGAATTACAGGAATTAGATTTGGCTGAGGCAAGGGAAGGTGAGTTATTATCAGTTGTTGACCTATGGTTTGTTGAGATGTGGCACTCAGGTTATGCAATCCTCAATGAAAATTATGAAGACTATAACCTGCTTCAACTCCTATTATGCAAGAAGTGGCTTAAACTTGTACTATGTGAAATGTGCTGTAGAAGATATGAACTGAAGTTGCCAATTGGGTGTGATCCTAAACAGTACATTGTTGACTTGATTCTAGAGTTGGAAGGTACTTTGGAGGCTCTGGGTGATTATTGTTTCCTGTGTCAGGGAGTATGGTCTGAATTCATAGTTGGCAATAATTTAGATTTTTTGAAGCAGCTAGAATTAACATCTGATAAGCTGGTGCAAGTAACCTCGAATCTAGTAAGAACATGTTATATGCAGAAGTTAGGAACTGGAGAGGAACACATACTCAAATTCAAATATGCTTGTAATGGATGGCCCACAAGGAAGTTCAGAAAGATGCCAAAGAATGATTGTAATGGACACTGGAAGATGTCTAGATTGTTTGTGAACCTACATTACTTCTCCTTTGGCTTATCGACTGCTAAAACAGTTCAAAAGGGCAGCTGCTATCTAAGGGGCTCTGACAAGGTGTTGTTAACTAAGTTGGAAATGCAGAGTTGTGTGAACCTGGGCGATGATAATGTTTCTTGTCACACGATGGCTCCTAGTGAAGGAATGGATTTTTGTGAGTTAAAAGTGCTTGAGGTAACAAGTGATGGATGCCCAATATTCTGGATTTTGGTTCTAGCAGCTACTGAATGGAAGGTTGGAAATTATACAATTCTAACTGAAGGGACTTATACCAAGATGGCTGTTTGTTCAGAGCAGAAATTACAATGTGATGCATTAAAAAGAAACCAGACAGGGGCAAAGCATGTTATCCAGAGGAACACATTTGTTGCTCCTGGGAATTTAGCCTACTCAGTAACCAACAACTATCTACCAGAAGGCAACAAACATAGAACTATGGCCACAAGGGTGAATGTTTTTGGACATGGTATCCACTCAACAGAAAACCAAGGATTTTATTCAGAAGGGATTCAGGTGCATTCGAGTGTCCAGAAAATTCCTGCTCTTGTACTGAACCGTGAATTAAGTATGGATTTTAGCAAAGATATTGCAGCTCCAATGAAATATGCTCTACAAGTTTCTGAATCTTTTGAGCTCAACAGGAGCAAAAAGGTACATGATCTATTCCATTTCGACGATGGTTTACTGTCTAGCAGCCAAGAATTGGAGCACCCATGGGATCCAGGAGGTTTGCTTCATCGGCTTGGGGACAAGACGATTTTCAAGGAGAGGGGATTGTTAGGACCGGATGGGCTATGGTTGGACCGTTACAACAATCCTCCAATCCAGCCCAAGAAGGCCCAGTTGGAGAGGCAACAAAAGCAGCAGCAGCAGGAAGGTTGGGGGCATCGATTGATCACTTGGACTTGGTGGAGCTGAAGCTCTCGACGGCGGCGGCGACCTGGGCAGCCGGTGGGCACCCTTGTCGATCTCTCTCCCCTACCTCTCCTCCTACTTACAGCCTTCTCTCTCAGCTCTAGAAGCTTCCAGAATTTGTATTACTTAGTTTCTTCTTCTCTTTTCATCCCAAAACAATTGTTCCTTGTATGGTGGATGCTTGCTATTAAGTTGGAAGAAGTGGGTTGTTAACAATTCTGAATCTACTAACAGATGCAAGGAGTTTAACAGATCAGTCAACTAATCTCTGAAAATGAAATGCAACATTCACATAAAGTTGCAACGATGCTTCCCCTACTCCAGCAGAAACAAAACACAGATAACTACATGACAAAACAGATGAATTTACTCACATGACAAGTCAGCCGATGCAGAAGGGAATGGACCAAACAGGGTGTTGTAGTTGAGCCTCTTGATCAAATTTCACAGCAAAAGAGTTAACTGACTGACAGGCTCCACAAATAATTAACATGGCAACAATATTGGGATGGGTCATTCAGAATAAAGAAGAAAAAAATGCAGCCATGCAGGCTGTTGTTGTTCTGAATAACTCAGGAAAGCACATATTAACTTTTTATTAGAATTATAACAAAAACAGATGTAAAGAGGGCTAGTAAAAAAATGCAACACTAGTAGACAATGCACAGTTAGATGCAACCAAAAAAAATCATTACTCTTCATTTCTGCCATTGCTCACAAAACTTGATTACAACAAACTAGTGTAGACCAATGGATGTTCAAGGACTTAGTCAAAAGACATAAATAACTTCTAATTGCTAAAAAAACTTAATCACTTTTGCTGTATTAATTTTCCAAGAGAAAGTATATGGGTGTGGGGCTAGCAAAATGGCAAGCTTCAGGTAAATAGTGTATACAACTATCAACCTTTACCAAGTAAGTACAATATTGCAATGATTCATTCATAATAAAGAATAAAAAATATGCAAGCATGCATGCTGCTGATGTTCTAAATGATGAAGGAAAGTGCATCTGAACTTTATATTAGAACAATAACAGAAGGGAATCGTAACAGAAGCACATGGAAATCATACATCATCTTGTTTTGCAAATTGAACACAACCTATATCTTTAATCAACGCACAGTTTAGATGTGAGCTTGCTGCAGCCTGCACAGGGTTGCTCAATCAAGTTTGTACTGTAGAAGGGATCTTCATTGGTTCTATCGTATAAGACACAATGAATGGAGCTTTAAAGGTGCTTGCAACTTAACCAGCTGAAAGATTTAGGTGTATAACTGACACTGCTTTGTTTCATAAAACAAAGAACATGGTAAAAGCTTTTGATATTCTAAGGTGGACACATTTACAATTTATTGTTAACAAACACAGAAGGAGACGTGCATGTTAAGAACAGAGGAAAAAAAACAAAATCCCCTCTACAGGACAGAACAAAACAGAGGGGGAAAAAGATGCTAGCAAACCTGTAAATCTGCCAAAAGCATGTCCAATTTATTCCGAAAAATGCAAATCACACAAAAAAAATCCCCATCTACCAGCCACAAATCCGAGCTCAGTGACAAGACAAAAAAAAAAAAATCCAGCCATCGTTTCCACCGATGGCTAGTTCGGTGGTTACGATTTAGTCTAATCTCAAATCACACAAAGCAGATATACTTCAAAAAAACAGATCAGACCTAGAAAATTTCAAATAGTGTGTAGCTTTACCTATAAATAAACAGATCAGAGCACTACTCACCTGGAACTTAACAAAATAAAAAATCAACAGCTAGGCAATCTCATCGGCATGACATAGAATTCAATAGATCAGGGGACTAATCAAAACAAGGGCAGGACGGAGGTGCTCCGCGTGTTTAGGTTCCATGACATAGAAATCAACAGATCAGGGGACTAAACCAAGACCTATACCGATTCCAAAATCTAAAACAGTTAAACAAACATCAGATCCGAACATTAAGAGCTACCTGAAGCATCAAAACCTAGCTGGAATAAGATTGAAAAAAAAAATCAACTAATGATGCAAACGAATAGGAGACAAGGAGAGAGAAATCAGCAGAAAACTCTCCGGCGAGCTAAATCACCATGGCGACCTACTTCTCTCGCGCGCGCATCGGCAAGCCCTCTCTTTCGCACACGCCGGCAAGCCAGCTCTCTCTCTCTCTCCGGAGAAAACAATGAAGAGAAAAGAAAAAAAAGAGTGAAAGAAAGAGAGCGAGAAGAGAGCTGAGAACAAAATGGCTACGGACAGAAAAGCGCGGAGCCCGAAATTTGACAGGGATAACCCACATTTGACTACAGGCGCGGTCTGATTACACATGACGCAGTTGCATCCCTACCCCCGCATGCGCACCAATCTTAGCGCAAATCCTACGGTCAGAAAAACGACAAATATTAGGGAAAGAAATTTGATGACAAATATCTAGCAAAATTGTTAAAAAAATCGTTTATGTTGTAGTAGTGTACCATTGTAACGCATTTGACGCACGAGAGTTTTTTTTGTTTCTATAATATGTAAAAGATAAAGATTAAGAGTTGAAACGGCCACTTCATTTTGTTTCGATTCTACCACCGTCTAACTAAACCAACCAATTTTTGGCCAAATTAAAATATATACTCCCTACATGTTAAAAATAATTGTTGTTTTGAACAAGCACCCGATCTAAAAAAACAAACAACTTTCATCACTGTTTCATTTCTAGTACAATATATAGAGAATTATCAACAAATATATTGTTTGTTTTATTTTATTTGGTACTTTATTCATACCATTACAACTTCACGGTTTTTAAATATACCATTATTATTTATATATTTGGAGTCATATCATTACAATCTTATATGAATTGGAGATATGCCACTACGTACCTCTTTAATGGATCTTCTGAATTCTTTGGATAAAACTAACATTATCTTATTCCTCCATCCCCTCCTCTCTATTCATCCTCACTTCACCCGGGCCGGCCCATATCCAACGGGCTTGACCAACTACTGCCAGGACCTGCTGCCTGAGCGTCTCTCGCCGCTAGAGCTTCGCCGTCCACTGTCCGTCGCCGCGCCCCGCGCCCAGCGCCCAGCTCCGCTGTCAGTGGCACGACCACCCCGTCGCCATGGGCCATGGCTAGACTTGCTGCTTTGAGGAGGATTCGTGTGGGGAGAAGATTTTTTTTTTTGCCAGGTCGGCCGAAACATTCGGTCGACCAATTTCATTTAAGATTGGGGGGAAAGTTTGTTACATAAACTAGCTTACAATGACAGCAGGCTATGAAGACGGGCAGGAGGCTAGGCCTCTAACCCAGTAAGCAAAGGAAAAGAGGAAAACGCCCTAAGACACATCGATTGCAGGTTGGCGGTGCTGTTACAATCTTTGAAAACTGCTGCTGTCTTCCAAACCATAATTTCTTCCTTAATATCTTCTACAAGCTGATCAGGGGAACGCATCTTCTGGTCAAAGATCCGCGCATTGTGTTCTTTCCAAATCAGCCAACAGGTTAACATAAAAACCGAATCGAAGATCTTCCTGTAGCCCGTCCGAAAACATCGCCTTGCCTCAATCTACCAGTCTGTAATGTTGCAGTCGATCTGTCCAGGAAGCGGGAAATCTATATTGATCCAAGCACGCATCAATCGCCATACCCTGTTGGTGAAATTGCAGGAAACAAATAGATGATGGCAATCCTCATGCTCACGCCCGAAGAGATGACAGCAGTCCTCGTTCGGCCATCCCCTCTTTGCAAGGTTGTCAGCCGTCACCGTCAGACATCTTCCCTTAGCAACCAGCCATAGGAAGGCCGAGTTTAGTTCCAAACTTTTTCTTCAAACTTCCAACTTTTCCATCACATCAAAACTTTCCTACACACACAAACTTCTAACTTTTCCATCACATTGTTCCAATTTCAACTAAACTTCCAATTTTAGCGTGAACTAAACACACCCGAAGAAACAAATTCTTGATGGTGCGCCAGCTTGCCAAATGAGCTCTCCACAGGGACAGGATTCTCTTGCCATGAAAAAGAGGTCATAAGCTGAGGAGACAGAGAAGTTGCCGTCAGAAGAAGCCTTCCATCTGATCGTGTCAGGTTCCTGGCTGAGGTTGAACAACTGCAGTTCATCCCAGAGTTGAAAAAACTGCACCATGGCGACATTTGGAAGAGATCCCCGCAGGTCTCTCACCCACCTATGATTACTCAGTGCTTGAGCGACAGTTAGTTTTGATCTGGGGGAGAAGAACCGGGGAGAGGATGAAGATAGGGGCATTTTGATCCAAAACATTTAGAAAATACATTGAAGAGATAAATAGTGGCAAATATCAAAATACGGTGAAATTTCCATGGCATAGTTCTAAATACGTAAATAGTAATGGTATATTTCAAAACTGTGAAAATTGTAATGGCATGGATCCGATTATTCATATGGGGATCATGTTTATTCATTTTAGAAGTTATTCATAATCAAAAGTTTTTAGTTTTTGGTGAGAGATATTGCCCACACTATGCATTAAATTAAGTGATTATGGTGCTAAACTGCTAGTCGCGCCTTAATAATCCTTAATCACAAAATTACAACAGGATAATGTTTTCATCCGATGGGGCTACAGGTAGTCAAGCGTGCCAAAAGAAAAGGTCGAACGTGACAGTGAGCTTGTTATATGTGCCAGACATAAATACTAAGCAGCCGGCCTGTTCAGGAGAGCACCGTGAAACATGTCACAGCACAACACAATCATGGCTACGATGCTTAGTACATGGCACAACAAAAGTCATAGCCCCAACCACTGAACTGGCAGCATCCTTGAATAAAAGATTCACCAATTAACTATAAACTTGAGGCTGCCGGGGATAATTATATATGAAATTTTCCCAAGCACCTGCACACACAAGATCAGATGGAATCATTTTAGTCTAGGAGAACAATTAAGGATTTACATATGTATTGGCTGAGAACAAAAACTCTTAGCTCGACATGCTATCCCTAATTATTTGAAATGCAAGTTTCTACCGAGGTAGCATCTATATTTGTTTACTAATTAGAAGCGGCATAACAGAATTAGTTTTCTCTTCTATATATGCTGATTGTGTTTGGCATTTTCTGGAACTTTAAGAAAATCAAAACAGACGGCATACCTTTTCTACTCATGCATTCCTTAACACCTTGATAAGCGTCAATGCAGCACTAGCGAATAATCTTCTTGGTTGATAAATACTCAAGTGTGGAATCCTTCCAAACAAACCAAGATTATGGTTTGGAGTTGCAGAAGATGCTTCCTCTCTTAACTTACGCCGTTCCTCTCTTAACTTACGCCGATGATTGTTGATCTGGCAGAGATGCTTGTCCTGATCCTCTAATCTATGGCTTGGTAAATTCTTCGCAGGACACCATGGGACCGACAGTACTGTTCTCCAAAATGGAAGATAACTTAGGAGTTTGCATCTGTCCTCCCATCCATGGGGTGGTTTCTTCTTTCTCATAGCCTGTCTCATAAGGCAATAAGGATTTAATTACTTCAAACTTGAAAAATAGATTAATATGATTTTTAAAGCAACTTTCTAAGATTTTTTCTTTTTGAAAACAAAACACACCGCTTAGCAGTTTGGGAAGCCGCACGTGAAAAATGAGGATGTTTTGATATCTTTCTCTTGCTGCGGAAAGCAGCATTAGGCATCAGGAGGACTATAGAACCTCCCCAACCTTTTCGCTTCATCGAAGGAATCTATAAGCCAGCAGCATGAACTTGAGATGGTAGTACGATACATTATGTTTTGCATCAGTGATGGATAATTAATGTGATACTACTTAAGGTACTTGTGTTATTGTTTATGTTGGATCAAAAGTTGCTAAATTGTAGTAGTTGAGTAGCATACTTCAGCAACATGTTAGGCTGCTGAAAAAGTAAACGGCATGGCAGAAACATAGCAACTGGAACTGTGAAACATGCTTTTACATTCTTTTTCTTAGAAGTTTATCTTAAAGCATTTAGTAGTGAATTTCAAAATTGTGAAAATTACTATCATAATATCATAAACTTATTACATTTTATAACCTTATTCTAATACGAAATTGATGGTTGGAATTTCAAATGTTTAAATCTTGTCCTGAGCTTCAATTATTTATGACCGGAGGGAGTACATTCTATGGTGATATCATAATGCCTTATAAAATTTCAGATGCCTGCATCTAATATAAAGAATTAAATGTATCAAACAGGGATGTGCATAGAAAAATTAAGGCTGCTGTCGCAGTGCCCTTGCAAAAATTCAAGACGAAACAAGAGGAATGTAAAATTAAAACTCTACATGAAACAAGAACCAACAGAGGTCGGAATGTAAGAATTATGCCTCACCTTTTTCTTTACAGCAAGCAGATAAGGCACATCTGTAGTTGCCTTGCTTGCAACCGAGCTCCCTGTTTTCCATGATAAATTAAATAGGTTCATTTTCTGAGTTTATGAAAGAATGAATTGGGACATCACAGAAAAGACCCACACCCACCAGATTTGTCAGGTACCTCCTTGTTGGGCATCGGTAATGTGTAAGGGCAGCTTGAACAAAAAAAATTAAATGAATCCCAAATCAAAAATGCATCTGCATACAAAGATATAATCATTGAAGAAAGTCAAAGGGAATGTAAAAGAATACATGTTTCCAACGTCAATGCCTTCTCCAGTGGGACAGAAATCAAAACCCTTTAGGATCAATGAAACATGTTCAAGGACCTCTGTATGTGGCACCTGCATGGCATTTTCCAACTTTTACATAAAAACAAAAGGGAGAAGAGAGGTTCAAAGAAAGAAAAGCAATATATAAACAGCAAATAACATGAACAAATTAGTTGAAACTGCAGATGCCCCAAGAGAGGATAACATAGAGTGCTCTCGAATGTATGCATCAAGTGCTTCACCGGCTCGGAAGATTATATTAACAAGCAACGATGAAGACAACAAAAGTTTAAGCTTAGCTTGTCCATTCTGATGCATCTGCCATTCTAAGGCCATAGAGTGATGGATACGAGCAAAGATAGTAGCAAAACCATCTAGCTTATTACCACCAACTTTTCTGCAGGATGATCCAGAGCGGATATGATCTTGAGCTGCCAGGAGCAGAACTGCAGAATGGATAAGTTTTCCATCTTTCATGTAATTCCAGACCTCATCGACTAGATTGTTTGTGTGTTTTGCAAGTTCTCTAGTAGTATCCAAGAAGATCTTCTGCAAAAACCACCAATGAAATACAAAATACAGGTGCAGGTTAGCATTCAGCTTTATCACCACATTTACCTAAAATATCATACTTTGAGAATTAAGATTTACTGAGAGCAACTTGAAAGTGTTTTCTTCTTTTCTATTAAATAAACTCAACCTAAAAATGGTCCAGACACAAATGCTCACTACAATACTAACGAATTGCTCACTATTATGTAGAAATATAAGATAATACCAGATATTAAGTACTATCAGTTTTTTTTACATATTGATCGCAACAACTTCTTACTTACTTATGCTTCAAAAGATACTTCCCTCCGAACAAGGCATATTTTGTTTTGTTAGAACAAGGGTTTAACCAACAATTACTTCATTAGAATATATTTTTTGCAACACAAAGTTGATGTTATTAGACTCATATTCAAAAGTACTTTCTTATGATTATGCTTTTGTGTGACATAAATGATATATTAGTAATAAAGCAATAGTTGGTCAAAGCTTTGTTCTAACAAGAAAAAAAATATGCCTTATATTTTTATATGGAGGGAGTAGTAGTTAGTAATTAAGGGAGAGATGCTAGGCAAACCATCTCAGGTAGGCACATAAGATGGATAGCTTTGTAGATATCTTCCTGGCTGTAATCTGGATGCTCCTGATTAGGAAACAGATTTTCCTCCAAATACTTATGCAAGCAAGTGTTTTCAACTGCAACATGTAGTGGGAGTAGGCCCTCTTTGACATTCTTGCCAGACGTGCGTAGATTAGCCAATGCACCATGGCATATGAGCAACTTGATCATGTCAACAGAGAAACTTTCAGCAGCTTCATGAAGGGGAAAATAACCATATTGGTTCATGCAGTTAGGATTAGCTCGGAACCCTCCGAACTCAGGAGCCTGGCCCTCCAAGATAACTTTGGCACATCGCATGGCATTTTTTATGATGACGCAGTTCAAGGTTTCAGGAGTGATGATAAAGCCAGAAATCAGCCTATGCATGCGCTTGACGAATAAGCGGAGGAAACAGCAGCGGCTATCCTTTTCCAAGATGGGCTCCAGGAGACGATAAGTCATGCCATAGAACTCAATATTTTTTGCCTGGATCAATTGCCAATTGAAAAGGGAGGTGAAAGACAATCAATTGTCCCATCAATAAAGCAAAAGAAAGCATAAAATCCTGCTACAATGCATCTTAATGTTAGTAAATATTGCAGGACCTTAGGGGTGTAGTCGGCGTTGATTACACATGTTGATCGATAGGAAGCAAGATACGCCATCCTTTTCATCTTCCACTGATATTATGGAGATAATTTGTCAAAATCCACTATCAAGGTAAGAAAGGAGTGAAGGAATTAATATAGCATAGAGATAGTTACTGTACATCCTCGATGAAACAGATAGCTCCATTAAGACCAAGATTTGGTGGAATTTCTGGTGGCCATAAAGGAAAATAAGGATTCCATGGATCCAGCACGGTCTTTGTTGTTACATCTACAGCTTGGCCATTATCTTCATGTAAATCAGTTTTCATTCCACCATTTTTCTTTGTCTTCTTTGGTTTTGAGTTGGCCGGGAGGTCCAGCCTCATATTTGCTTAGTCTTTATTATCCCGTGTCAAATTTGACACCGTTGACTTTTTAGTACGTGTTTGACCATTCGTCTTATTCAAAAAATTTAAGTAATCATTTATTCTTTTCATATAATTTGATTCATTGTTAAATATACTTTCATGTACACATATAGTTTTACATATTTCACAAAATTTTTTAATAAGACGAACGGTCAAACATGTGCTAAAAAATCAACGGTGTCAAACATTTTGAAACAGAGGGAGTAATTTGTAAACTGTAAATAATAAGACGGTGGTACTACAAGGTGCAGCAAATTAAAATAGTATTTGCGCCAAGGAACGACAGAATATACGATAATTGCGAGCTGATTACTAGAACAATTCAGGGTCTCATCAACAAGCTAAGGAAAGGAAAAGTAACAGATGAAAATCGAAATACAACCTGAGTTTTTAGGGCCCTGTGAAACTAAATTTAGGGCCCTTAACATACTGCTGTATAATACTAATAATCAATAAGCAGATATTATATATATACATGAGTTATTGCTATAAAATTTAAATTGCATTAAAAAATAATTTATGCTACATATGCATTCGACGACGGAGAGATGAGGACGATTCGATCTATCAAACATAATTACATAAACAATCAAAAGAAGTTAACAAGCTAGGTCTAGAAAAACTTGAGTCTCGGTCTACCTGACGGGCTGTCACTGGGGCTGGGTCGATCAGGCAGGAGGCAGCGATGGCGTCAGGCAAGAGGCAGGAGGGCAGAGGCCGGCCGATGGGCGATGGCGTCGTGGCGACGGGCGCTGGCTGCGCAGCCACGCAGCAGCCGGGCAACAAGGCTGCGCACCCGCGCGGCAGGACAGCGTGTCGGCGACGGGCGCAGGGGCAGGGCAACGGCGATGGCGAGTCGCGATGGCTGGGGTTGAGGGTGCGACGAGACGAAGCGCGGTTGGCGGCGGCAATCACGCGTGCTTTTCTTTTTCTGTTTCCACGCATCTCGCGACGCCGCCTTCTGCATCCGCTCGGGCCTTGTTCGGAAGATTAGCGCAGGGCTAACTTTAAGAGCTAATATTTAGTCTTGAATTGGTATGCTAAACATTAGCCTAAGGTGATATATTTGTATCCATATCCTGCGTTAATTTTCTGCACGCACAAGACAGCCACAGCACTCTCGCATCGCCCTCCCCTGGGGCGGCACGGGACGGCGGCAAGGCGGAGGGGGAGGAGAGGGGCGGCCACAAGGACGGCGGCGGCGGGGCCTCTTGTCGACCTCTCTTCGGGCGGGCAGGGGAGCACCCACGACGGGGCGGCGGTGGCCGCTAGATCCAGGCCGCTCTAGCCAGATCTGGCAGGGTGGCGGCTGGCGGCGGGGAGGGTGGCAGCAATGGCAACGGGGAGGGTGACGGCGAAGGCAGGGGTGCACGGCGCCGGGCGGTGGTGGTTGCAGGCGGCGGGGATAGCGATGGCGGCATGGATGGCGTCAGCAGAGGGCGCGAAGGCGGCGGCGGTGGTCCCTGCGCGGCAAGCCAGCAACGGCGCGGTGCTTGGTGGCGACGGCGGTGGTCTCCCCCAGATCCGCGCCTCTTGGCCGGATCTAGAGGGTGGCCGGCGATGGTGGTCAGCGACGGCGGCTGACTTGCGACGGCTGGCGACGGCAGTTGGTGACGGCGGCGATGGTGGTGGTCACGGCAGTTGACGGCGACGGGGTCGGCTGCCGACGCTGACGGAGGACTTGGCGGCGACGCGGAGGCGGACGGCGACAGTGAAGCGGCCGCTGGCAGTGGCGGCGGTTCGTGGAGGCGGTGGCTAGCGTCGGTGGCAGCGGTGACAGCGGTCGACTTGTGGCGGCCGTGTCTGGGGAGGCGCTGGTGACGTCGGCGGATGCGGATCGCTCGCGGCAGCAAGTGGAGGTGCGAGGTGAGGATGGCAACAACGAGGTGGTTGGGCGTTCAACAACAGCGGCTATGGTGGTGGCGGCCGTGACTGCGGTCATCGGAGGCATGACGGCCTCGGACGGCCAGCCGAGGGCATGGGAGATGGCTACATTTGGCCGGTGCTTCATCGTTTGGTGGAGGGGTCGAAGACCGGCTTGGCGCAGACGATGGCAGTGGAGGCCGGCTCGGCACGAGAGGCGCAGGCGGCAGAGATGGAGGCCGGCTTGGCGCGAGAGGCGCGGCCGATGGAGGGAGGTCGGATTGGCGCGAGAGGCGCGATCGATGGAGGGAGGTCAGATTGGCGCGAGAGGCGCGGCCGATGGAGGGAGGTCGGATTGGCGCGAGAGGCGCGTCTGGTGGAGGAGGCCGGCTTTGGCGTGAGAGGCGCGGCCGGCGGTGGAGGAGGCGACCTAGGTGTGAGGAGGAGCTGCCGGTGGGTGTGGCGCGATCTTTGGCGCTCGAAGGCTGGCCGGCGGGAGATGCCGGTGCAGGGGTCCTACAGGTTGGCAGAGCTTGTGTGGTGGTGGGGCATCGGTGCGTCAGCCGTGGATTTGCAGGTGGTGAGCGGCGGATGAAAACTCAATCCGGCCATGGCCGGACCGACAATGATAGTTCATTCCCCCTCTTGAGGGCGTTGTCGTGCTGTCTCACCCCTCAAGGGTGATTGCCGGGCGAAAGCCCAGTCTTGGCTTCTTCGAGTCCCGATGGATGGCGGTAGCGGCTTTTCCGTCGCTTCTGTTCTTGTAGACGTCGTTTTGGCATCCCCTAGGGGGCGATCTTGTCTGTGTCCCTTTGTTGGTCTAGTGGCGGTCGGCCACGCTTAGCGGCGCCCGGTCCGATGCTAGCCTTCTCCTGGGCTTGTGTGTTGGCGATGCCGGTGTGTGGGTGGTGGTATATTTTTCCTGGTTACGACCCTCTAGGGTTGTAATCTTGTAATTTTTTCCTGTTCTATCATTAGAACTTCGCACCGTCTCGTGCGAGTCGTTCAAAAAAAAGATATGTTTGGATCCATGGGCTAATTTAGGGCTAAAAGGTAAAGAGAGAGTACAAAGAAGGGAGAGAAAGAGGGGGAGATAAGGCTGTTTTTTATGGTCTCCACAGAAAATTAGCCCCATTAGCACCCTTTGGAGGGGCTAATGTTTTGAGGAGGCTAATTCATTTTAGCCCCAAATTAGTCCACTTGTTTGGATCGTTGTGGGCTAATTCAGGACTAAAAGGTGGGGGCTAATAATTAGCCCATGGAACCAAATAGGCCCTGGTCTCTTGACCGCGCGTCGTGCGTGACGCTTTGCCTCTTTCGCCTTGGGGGGAGGGGAGGGGACCCTGCGATTTTGGGGGCTCAGAGCGGCCACACCGCTTGTCCCCCCCTCCAGGGCCGGCGCTGGATTTGTGGAAATGAGCAGCCATATTCATGTGAGTTTTTTTTTGTTTTCCAAAATTTATCTTTGCCTGACGGTTGTCTTAACCGGCCACCTGTAAAAATCGTATTTTCGCAGATGGCTGTCTTAACCTAACCGCTGGCATAAACGATTTTCGCTGGCGCATCCGCCAGTGAAAATTATGTATCACTAGCGGTTGATGGCCGCTAGTGAAGATGGTGTATTTTCACTTGCCATTGGTCACTGGCGGTAGCGTTAATAGCCAGAGAAAACTGAAAGTGGCCACTAGGAAAAATTCATTTTGTAGTAGTGGCGGCGGTGGCCCCAGCCCGACGGCAAGTAGTGGCCTCGGCGAATAGCGACCTCAGCCCTGTCTAGCAGCGGGAGAGGCGACAACCTCAGCACTGATTGCGAACAACTGCCCGACGAGCATCGACCTCGGCATCGTCGAGCAACGGCCTCGATGTAAGCGGCGGTGACCCCGGTGAGCAGAGGCCTCAGCCTCAGGTAGCAGGAGTAGCGGTGTCCTCGTCCTCGGCCTCGAGCAAACAATGGCGCATGGTGGCGTCGATGACCTCAGCATGTTGTCGGTTTGAGAAGCTAGTTTCTTTGGTTGGGACTAGGACATTAATGATTCACATCTTTTTTGTTTTATTCAGTTCTTAGATAGGATGATTTTGTTGATTTAGGCATCCTTCTGGGCATGCTGTGGGCATTGATTTGGTTTGATTCAGTTCATATATAGGATGATTTTGTTGATTTAGGCATCCATTTGGGCATGTTGTGGGCATCAATATGTGATGCTGACAGAGCTGGCTCGGATTGAGCTTCTTCTTGTTTTGTGATACAGATTGAGGCTTATGAGACATTGGCGATGTGATACTTCAAGGTTGGCTGGGCTTTTTTCTTTCTTCCCTTTCCCCATTTTCCTTGGGTTCTCTAAAGTAGTAATTACCTGGTTGGATTTTGTATCAGTTTCTGATTTCCGATTATGTTCTTTGTGCATTGTACGCGACATGAAAGATGGAGGGCGTCACTCAGCAAGGGCAGGAAGGCGCCCTGCCTACGGACGAAAACGTATTATGTGACGATTGAAAAATTAAAAAAAAAAGTAGGTATAGATATAGATATATATGTATAGGATAAGTAGAAATAAACTTATCGTTTTAGGACGGGAAGATAAGCAAAATAAAAGGTTGACAAACTGACAAAAGTACAATACAATCGAACATCACCCCTCTATAAACTGGACAACTTGGTCCATTAGCTAGTTGGGCTACACTGAACGTATAATAATTAAGGCCCAGTTTAGTCTACACTAAATAAGGTCCGTTAGCTAGTTGGGCTAAATCTGTGCCCAACAAAGCCCATATACGGCCCATGTTTACCTCCATGTTGCAAGCCGGCTAAATCTGGCCTAACTATCAGGAACCAACAGGTTAGAATAGGTTCACTTTGATCCCTTAATTTGACCCTGAGTTTGAAATTCGTCGAACTGAAATACCAGTATAACCCATCCCCCACTCCCAATACCGTATCAACTTTGATCTCAAGGCAATACGAGTCCTGGGTTTTGTTCGACGTGGCACATTGACTCTAGTCAGATGTGCTAACTCGGACATACCGCTGGGAGATGGTAAATGGGCATCATTCTGACGAAACGACCCCAGACAGCCGGGCTTGGTAGTAGGGGAGGTAACGATGGCGAGGGGATTTCTTCGCCAGGAGCTCAAGTGGCCTCACGATGAGCGGAATCTCATGGTGACCGTGTCGCACAAGTGGACTCAATGCGCCACGTCGGATGAAATTGGGAGTTATACTGCCTTAGGACCAAAGTTGCTACGGTACCAAGAGTTGGGGATGGGTTATACCTGATATTTTTTTTCAGGGATGAATTTTAGACTCAGCGCCAAATTGACGGACCTAAAGTGAATTTAGCCCATATACAGCACATCAGGTTTATCTCCACGTGGCAAGTGGCAACACGGCCCATCCACTGTACGATATGACGTGGCGGGTCAATCTCACTCCCAAGGTCCCACTCGAGATAGCTGCGACGGTGGTGTGCGCGTAGCAATTAAAGTGGGAGAGGCGACCTGACCAACCCACCACCCCCCTCGTTCCGGTCGCGGACTCGTACGTACGGCCCCAAAACCAGATTTGATAGCAGCCGATACGTCCGCCGCGGCGGCTGAATAGGAGAGAGAAGAGAAAAAAAAAACAAACCACAACGAACTACCCCCTCCTCGTCGAGCCGACGCGAGAGAGGAAAGTGGGTTGCGGCTTGCTGCGCGTGTGGAGTCGCCATTCCCCAATTCGCTGCGCCGCCCGCCGGATCTCGTCTTGCCCCCTGCGGCGGCGGTTTGGGCCCCCCCTTCCGATCGGTTTCCCCCCCGCACATGGTCGTGGCGGCGGCGGAGGTGGTGGTGGTGCGGGAGTAGGGAGGCGGGCGAACCGAGGCGGCGGCGCCGATGGCGGACCTGGTTTCCAGCTGCAAGGTAGACTCGCGTTCCCCCGCCCGCCGGTAAATTCGACCCCGATCTCCGCCGATTCCGCGGCGTAATTCGGCGCCGGGGGGGGGGAGGGGATTCGTTGCGTCGCGCGCGTCTGTTTTGGGGCGGGGAAGGTTGCGGCGTGCCTGGCCCCGCCCTTGCTCGCCGTGTTTGCCTGTAGATGATGAGATGATTAGTTAGTTTTGTCGATAGTTTTAGTTTTTTTTTTCCAGTGGTTGCTGTGGAGTTTATTAGTGCCTAGCTCTCTGGCGTTTAGGGTTGCGGATTAATCGGTGATTTCAGTATAGCACCTGGCGAGGGGCTTCACTGGGCAGTTCAATTGCTTAGGCTGGCGCTTTCGCTTGTTGGCAAATCCCCCACATTTGCTTGATCCGTAGTTTGTCCCATGCTGTATGGTTTTGTATCATACGGGAAGCATCCAGATGTTTCATGTCATACTAATCACTAAATAAGTTGCTCAGAAAATTGCTAATTTTCACTTTCTTCAGTTTGGTAGTTTGGGTCCTTGTGTTCCATGACAGTTAATTTAGCATGGTTAGTTGCGTCATGCTTAATTCCAGGCAAGAGTATCTCTGCTTTGATTTGGAATTGATCCCAGTATTTAGTCCATGGATCAAACGCCAGTTGTACCTTATGTATGTGTCATGCCAAATGAATTGCTTTGGTAACTTTAGCATTGACCCCTTTGCCTTTTTCATTGCAGGATAAACTGGCATACTTTAGAATAAAGGAACTCAAAGATATATTAAATCAGCTCGGCTTACCAAAGCAAGGAAAGAAGCAGGTCAGCAAATTTTGTTCCTGTTAATCTTTTTTACATCACCATCTATCAGACGGCAGTTTCAACTAAATGAGAATATGAGATGTAAGCTTTTGAGGTGAACCGGTAGTATAGACTCTCATAATACAGCATTGGTGGGATCTTTGGTGGTAATGGTGGTCTGATATGAAGAGCTCATTTCAATGAGCTATTTCTTAGCTCGTTGTCTTTTGTTTTCTGATATACTTCTCTTATATTCTCACAGGATCTTATTGATAGGGTGTTGGCACTCTTAACAGATGAGCAAGGTATGCATTTGTCTGTTGTTTCTGCTTCCCTGGTCTATGTTAGTACCTTACATATCAAGTCATGTACTGACATGCTAAAATTTGCACTGTTTCATTCCCTGTATTTGTTTCAGTGGTGTCTAATCCATCAGCATGAACGGATGATGCCTTTTCTATTTTCTAGTCTTAAAAACCTAAATTTGTGTGTTCTTTTCTTGTTGCAGGTCAAAGGCATCATGGATGGGGAAGGAAAAATTCTCTCACCAAGGAGGCAGTGGCAAAAATTGTTGATGATACATACAGGTTAAATTTCATTGTTTCATAAAATTGACCATGTGGCATAATAGTGTGGATATTTGAGATGAAATCAGTGGTGCTTCTCTTTTGAGATCTTTATGCCTTCATTAGCAGGAAAATGCAAATCCAATGTGCTCCTGATCTAGCCACCAGGAGCCACAGCGGATCAGATTTCAGTTTCAGGCCTATAGAGGAAGCCTATGACTCTTTCCAGCCAGAGGCCAAAGTTCGCTGCATTTGCAGTAGCACAATGGTTAATGACAGCATGATCCAGGTATTATAACATTTTTTATTTCTTACATTCCTTTCTTTTTGAAAGATCGTTACGGCATGTGCCATCCCTCTTTTTATTATTATTATTTAAATCATGTATCATGTCTTTCTGCAGTGTGAAGATCAGCGATGCCAAGTGTGGCAACATTTGAATTGTGTACTCATTCCAGATAAGCCTGGGGAGAGCGCTGAAGTTCCACCCGTTTTCTACTGTGAATTATGCCGACTGAGTCGGGCAGACCCGTATGTCTTTCTACTATTTGATTTTTCTTTGGGTGGGGTTAAGCAGGTAAATCTGTGGTGGAAACCACTGCATTTTTTAAAGAAAAATCAAAACAAAAACATATTTAGGGAAGGTGATAGTACATGCTCTTGTAATTCCATGTGCAAACTTGATTTTGCTTGTGAGATATGAAAATGGAAAACAGTGAACGAAAAGACAAACATCAAGAATTCAAGATGTGTGGCTTTTACCTTGTTGTTTCTCAATTTCATATCTCATTAATGAAATTAGTTTTGATCTTCTGATTTCACACAGTTTAATAATGTATCACCTCCTCTGTGCATGAGATTACTTGGGGATTTTTTGAAACTTGTACAAAATGGTTTCCAGTTTATCACCATATATTCTACAAAATGGGATTAAGTTTTGATTTGCTGCAGCTACATGCTTTGAATTTGCAGATTTTGGGTCACTGCTGGAAATCCATTACTCCCAGTGAAATTCGTGTCATCTGGTGTTACAAATGATGGGTGGGTATAAATGGATTCTTCTTACTGGCAACATTTTAACTGATAATAATCCGTGGCTGACTATTTATTTATTATTGATGCTCTTCTTTCTCTATTTCGTCTTTGCAAAAATGGCAGTTTTTCCAACACCTTTATTTACATTCACTGGTAGCTCGCTAGGCTCTCCCTTTCAGTCACTCCTTCAAATAGAAAAACAGTTCATGACACTTTTTTCATCATGCCTCTTAAATTTTTTTCATTGTTGCACAATCATAGAATGTTTACAGTTACACTACGGCTCATAATTACATACGTAGGTAAAATCCATTGTTGATACTTGATAGTCATGAGTTTACTTTGTCACATGCCTCTCCATATATTGTACAAGGCTCTTCTTAGTAGTTACTTGTCACATTATAATAATCCTTGTAACATATGGTAAATTCTCCAGTTAACGTTATCTGTGACTATACAACATTTTGTCTAGCACATTTATGGACAACAGTATGCTTAGAAGGTTCAATTGCTATTCTATTTACTCTAAATTGTCTCGTTTAATGATCATGTGTTACTTGTGATGTATGACATCCTTATTAATCCTCTCATATCTTTAGAACAAGTGTACCTCAAAGTGTGGAGAAAAGCTTCCAGCTTTCTCGATCAGATAGAGAAACTGTCCAGAGACAAGAATATGACCTCCAGGTTTGTTCTATTCTACAAAGCTAAGTTAAATATGCTTGAGTTTTGGAGTCCTCAGTTCAACTTAATATTGCGTCAATATTGTAATATCATAATGCTCTTGAGTACCAAGTAAGAAACCATATGGGTTTATGCCACTCAGTTGTTTAGGACGTTCATAAGTTTTTTTGTTGATTTTAGGCTTATATGAATAGCTCTTATCAATGGTGAAGGCAAACCTTTGACCAATTCATTTTCCTTTTGTAACATGGAATTCACACAATATGAGTAATGCGTCTATTGTGCAATTGTTTTCATTGGTTGTATTGTGAAGACAAAGCACTGTGGATAAGTTATGTTCTCTATGTAACATGAAATATTCTTAATTTGTTCTGTTACAAGCCAACTGTATTTACTTTGTGTTGTTGCAAATTTTCATCTGTACCATGTGGATGCTACTTGCTAGCATTGTACAAAGAAATTTTCTTTGTGCAAAAGTTTGAATTTATGTGGACCAGGCTGATTTCGAATTCATTTTGTCCAATGATGAAACATGGTTTAATTCATTTCGTATTGTTTTTTTCCTTGCATAAATCTAAGATATGCATGCATATATTGTTTGTTTATACTATCTGAAGCAGTGAATGTGTTGACAGGTTTGGTGCATGCTTTTGAATGACAAAGTTCAGTTCAGGATGCAGTGGCCCCAATATGCAGAATTGCATGTTAATGGTATTGTTGATGATTTTGTAGCACAATTTGATTCACTTTCATATTTGAATTGCATCCCAGCTTAAATATTGTCTTATATGTTGTGCAGTTATGCTGTTGTTGGTTAATACTTCACGTTGGTCTTTCTTTAAAATAAGTTACTATCTGTGTAACATTAGTTTCATTTTATGTTCAGGTATTTCTGTACGAGTAGTGACTAGACCTGGTTCTCAATTACTAGGGATAAATGGACGGGATGATGGTCCACTGGTAAGTTCAATTTCCTTCTGTCACATTGGTAAGATCTAGATACTAATTGGCAGAGATTTGGCTATCCTATTTGATATTCCTGTATGTTATTCTATTTTAAGTTGTGCCATTTTTGTTGTTCTCCGGTTGACAGAACCTAACGTTATTGAGTGGAGTTACAACCTTAAAATGGAACCATGTTATGTTACAAAACCTTTGGGCTTGTTTTCATTGATCTGTAGTTAAAATTTGCTTTATCTTCTAGTGGCGGCCTGTAAAAATTTGCTTCTGTATTTTTAATGCTCCTATGAAATCTCCTAAAATCATATTCGCAGTAACTCTTAGGTGGAAAGTCTCATTGAGAATCTTAGCTGGATGTGTTTAGTATGAGAAAAATTTACTGCCCAGTTTGAAACAGATTATTGACTAGATTATTGTCATGGATTATTTACATGATCATAGATATAGATTAAATATTTGATAAATAAACTTAACGAATACAGCATAGAACAAGGGATCTAAATAATGCAGTAGAAGAAAGGTTTTTTTTTTTTTTGAGAAAAACGTAGTTTTAGAGGCATGGAGCAAATAATCTGTGACAGTAATCCAGTTAAGTAGCTGAAAAGAACAGGGCCTGGTTGAAGATCCAGTTAAGCTTGCAGAGTCTTGCAGCTAGGGGTGATACAGTTGAAAACCAGCATTAAGGTTTGGAAGAATAGTGCATTCTCTTAGTTTAGGAAGTACTGTGAGAACAACCATCGGTTGACAGTAGTTGTTGTCTTATCTAGTCACTAGGAATCATGGCCATGAGTCTGAATCATCAGTCGCCACAACAGTATCACCTATCTTACCCAGTGGGCACCAGCCACCATGTGAATCTTGCATATGGAGAGCTGGAGACTTGGCTTATTGCTTATTCTGGTTTCTAATGATTGTAAGGCTTTCTATTCTTATTACGCATATCCTGTCTACGAAAAAGGACAATATGCCACTCCATTCGTTGGGTTTAGACGAAATGCCACCCACTAGAATGCAAAGGATAAAATGCCACTCAATAGGTTACCTTCAGGATATTTTGCCACTTTGGGGGGATTTTAAGACCAAAATACCCTTGGCTGTGGAGAGAGAGAGGAAGAAAGGGAAATGGCTCTGCTCGCCGGTGGCAGCGGTGAGCGTGCGGGGGTGAGCTGCGATGGGGGAGGACAGCGGCGACGATGGGGGGAGGAGGACGGCAGCGCTGACGGGACGGCCTCACGCGCTCGCAGCTTGCCACCTCCGGCGCCTCCCCCCCCCCTCCCCCCCCCCCCCCCCCCGCGCGTTTGCCACTCACCGCTCGCTGCTCACGGCACCGCCGTCCTCCTCCCCCATCGTCGTCCGCCCCTGCACACTCACCACCCCCCGTCGGCAAGCACGGACACTGCCCAGCTTGACCTTCTCCGGCGCTCCCCTTTCCCCTCTTTCTTCCTCTCTCCACAGCCAAGGGTATATTGGTCTTAAAATCCCTCAAAGTGGCAAAATATCCTGAAGGTAACCTATTGAGTGGCATTTTATCCTTTGCATTCTAGTGGGTGGCATTTTGTCTGAACCCAACGAATGGAGTGGCATATTGTCCTCCTTCTCCTACTTGGCGTTATGCTTCCATTTTAAATATTCCCAGGCATAGGGCATTATTTTTACATGAAGCAAGCTTTCACATGCATTCTTTATATAGTAACGCTTGTTGCCACATTGCTTTACTTTTAATTATATTTCCAAAGTTTTGGTTCTGCATAGCTTGTACTATCATTCTCATGGTTGTTTTCCCTTTATTTGCAGATAACCACATGCAGTAGAGAGGGAATTAATAAAATTTGCTTATCAAGGGTCGATGCTCGGACATTTTGCTTTGGTGTTCGAATTGCTAAACGGAGGACTGTTGCTCAGGTATTTCCATTTGACCTTTTGATTTATGAAATGATAATTTTCAGATTCACTTCTCCCAGATGTGTTTGTTGATTTGATTGAAATATAATCTCCTTTTGAAATGTGTACAAGCAAAACTGAGGTTTCTACATGAGTTTATTGTATTCTTGAACCATATTCCTCTGTATACATCATTGCACTTTTAATTATTTCACAAGAACGACATTTATGAGCCACAAGATCAAATTAGGAATTTATACTGTCGAGATCTTTCCAAACGGTTCTCAAATTTCACTCTTCTCTAAGGGTGCTGTCAACACTCATCTGACCAGGAAAGAAATCCAGTTAGCCGCTTGGTCCATCAACCTTCATTGACATTATGGTCAAGCTCTGAGTACTGATAGGGAAAACTGCAAATTACACCACAAAAAAAATCATATAGTTTGCAAAGATTAACATTAGCTTTATCTGTTGGTTGGTGGCAATGACTAATAGGGATATTTTTGCAAGTTATGACTTCAATGATCTGAGCATTATACGCGTGTTTCTTTTTGAACTGTTGTTTCTTGTACACCAAACTGCTTTTAGTTTAGAACTGTTGAATGGCTTTCCAGTTCAATCCATTTTGATGGTGATGTTCTTAATAGAAATTCGTTCCACAAATTCGCTATTGAAGCATATAAATACATATCTTGCCTAATTGTTGCTGTGAAGTGCTTACTCCTCTGTTTTCAAAAGAAACAATTTTGCTCTACTTTTAAGCAGTATGTACATTATGGTCGTATTATGTTACATGTTCCTATTGAAGTAGTCATGCATGGTTTAGTTTAACATTTTCTGATGAATTACAAAATTTAATAAAGTTATTACCTGGAAATGTCTGAAATTTTATTACCCTCCTCTTTGCTTAAAGGAAGAAACGTATATTTTAAGCATAATAATGAAAGGGGGAATGCTAAGCGCTGTCTTTATTTCCTTGAGATGTTTCATTCCTCTAGAAAGGCCAACAACTCTCTTAGCTAACACCTTTTCTGATTCTAATTGAGCTATTGTTTAACCAGGTTTTGAACTTAGTTCCAAAGGAAGCTGAAGGAGAGTCTTTTGAGCATGCTCTTGCTCGTGTTCGGCGCTGTCTCGGAGGTGGAGACACTGCAGAGAATGCTGATAGTGACAGTGATTTGGAAGTGGTTGCGGAGTCTGTTACAGTCAACCTTCGTTGCCCTGTGAGTTTTTGTTACGTATAACTGTTTAGTTAGCTTAACATATGTTTGTTAAGTGTACACTACAGTATGCAGATATAGTCATTCTATCAGGTTATTGATGTCCATTGTTCATTGATCTGGAGTAGTTTTAGCACATATAGGTTCTAATGTCATGTCAAGATGTGTGTAAGGCTAAGCCTTTCTTGTGATGCAAAATTGGAGACTAATCTAATTTGTTTTCTAACATGTCTTCAGAATAGTGGATCCAGAATGAGGATTGCTGGGAGATTCAAGCCTTGCATTCACATGGGTTGTTTTGATCTTGAAACTTTCGTGGAATTGAATCAACGGTCCCGCAAGGTTAGATCTTGTGTTCCCTGATGCTCATCCTTCAGATACATGTGTGTTCATCCAGGAAAGAGTTACTTTTTTCTGGAGCTCACAACCCACCTTTTGACATGTTGATGCTTTCATATTTTCCTTTTATATCCTCTGATTGCTCTTTTCTCTTGTTTCTATACAGTGGCAATGTCCAATATGTTTAAAGAATTACTCTCTTGAGAGCTTGATGATTGATCCTTACTTCAATAGGATTACTTCTCTGGTAAGTTTTCATTGTACCTCTAAATCTTTTTGTCAGATCCACAGCATTTTGTGATTATTTTTCTTTTGGATGCAGTTGCGCAATTGCAATGAGGATGTCAATGAGGTTGATGTTAAGCCTGACGGATCTTGGCGTGTGAAGGGTGATGCTGCAAGTAGAGAATTATCTCAGTGGCATATGCCTGATGGTACCCTTTGTAATCCTAAGGAAGATGTCAAACCTGCCATGCAAAATGGAAATGAACAAATGATGGAAGGTACTTCTGATGGACAGAAATCTTTGAAAATTGGAATAAAGAGAAATCCAAATGGAATCTGGGAAGTTAGTAGCAAAGCAGATGACAAGAAGCCTTCTGTGGTTGGAAATCGCATGCAAAACAATAGTGGGTTCCGAGCTCTAAACAACATTATGCATATGAGCAATAGCCCAACTAGTAGTTATAGAGACGGGGAAGACCCAAGTGTGAACCAAGAGAGCAATAGGCATGTTGACTTATCATTGAACAATGGTAATAATGAGTTTGACAGTTTCTCTCTCAATTTTGGCCAAGCATGCAATACAGATGATAGACCACAGCAACAACATAATGCCACAGACGTCATTGTTCTTAGTGATTCTGATGAAGAGAATGATGCTATGGTTTGTCCACCAGCTGTCTATGACAATACTACCACTGCAAATGGTAGTGGTTTTCCTTTCACCACTAATGGTATTGGATATACTGAAAGGTACCAGGAAGATGCCGGCGTTGGTACAAGTGGCCTTGGTTTATTGAGTAACAATGTTGATGATTTTGAGATGAATAACTGGCAAATGCATTCTTCTTATCAACAACCTGAACAAGGCTTCCAGTTTTTTGGGAATGATACTGATGTCCATAATACTTTTGTTGGTTCACACAATTCCTTTGGCTTAGCACCAAATGACTATTCTCTTGATTGTAATGTTGGCGTAGAGGAGGCTTCGGTAACTCCTGCTCTTTCAGTCTGCCGGAATAGTAATGAAATGCATGGAAGTTTGGTTGATAACCCACTGGCTTTGGTTGGCGATGATCCATCCTTGCAAATTTTTCTTCCAAGTCAACCTTCCTCTGTTCCTCTTCAGGAAGAACTTAGCGAGCGTGCTAATGCACCAAATGGGGTTCAGTCTGATGATTGGATATCCCTTACACTCGCAGCGGGTGGAGGTGGTAACGAAGAGCCTGCACCTGCTGATGTCAATTCACAGCCACAAATTCCATCAACAGAGACAGGGATCGAACCATTGACCGATGCTGGTTTGTCTCCCTTTTCCGAGTTTAGTTCTTTATTCATGTGACAGTTATATTCTAAGGCAATGGTTTACTCTTGAAATATTTTTACCAACAACTTAAAATTTCTATCCATTTGCTTAGTCATATTTTTTTTCAGTTGAATTATTTCCTTGTATGATATTATATCCGTGCGTGATACTTTGCTTTTCCATGTTTTCATAACTAGTTAAATTGGCTAACAATTATCTTAACATAATTTTGTTGTGAACTGATTACTGACTGGAAAGAAAACAGTGATGAATTAGCACAATGTGGATAAGACTACTGGAAACATAGTTGCTGCTAACCTTTGGTGATCCTTGAGTATCTCTTCAACTAAGTTACCAAGCATGATTATTCCACCTTTTTGTTTCATGAGTAAAGAGTTCATTAGTTTTTGCTCTTAATGCATTTTTTAGGGGCTGCAGAGACCCACATCACCAATTGTATTGCTAAGCTTATACTTGTAGCAAATGTCGATTCACACCGGGCCTGCTTTCTCTTTTCTTTAGTAACACTACCAATTTTGAAGGAATTTGCGTAGTATCAAGATATTTATTATACCAAATGCTTCTAAGCCTGTCTTCTATTATCAGCCCATCTCTAGGGTGGTTTGGTAGTTACAATTTCTATGGATTTTGCTGTCTGTTATGGTCGCCTGTATAACAGGGGTTATGCTTGGTTGGAACATATGCAGGAACATCCAGGTCTTTTGTCTGCTAGTGGTTATTGTTGGGTGTTCCCACCACTATCATCATGTATTATCAGCAATTATTGTTGTGATTGCTCAGTTGGTCCAAAATATTGGCATAATTCCTTTACTCGTTTTTTGCAGCTTCTGCATTTCTGAGCACAAACATTGAAAGACGTAGCGGAGCTGATTTAAATCCAAGAAGGATAGAAAATATATTTTCTCATCCTCGCCAGCCTCGGTCTGTTAGGCCTCGACTCTGTTTATCAATAGATACTGATTCTGAGTAGTTTGGACATCATAACGGGGTAACTGAGTTTGCATTAGTTTGGCAAAGCTGCCATCCAGAAATCATGATTTATACTGAGGTGGGGTTATCGGTCGTCTGGTTGATGTAAAGAAAAACACCAGCATTGATGCTTTGTTGCCTCAATGGTTTACAAGCTTTCAAGTGTTCTATTTGATCCAGGAGGGATCTGCATAGAGGACATCTGATGGTGAGCATAACTGATTAGTCCTTTTCCCCTGTGTTACTGTTCCAGTTTCCTTGTAGTTTGTTGTTTGCATGTGATTAAAGTTGTTAATTTGCAAGTGGGCATGTCTTTTACCAAATGAAAAGGGAAAGAATGACATAGAAGATCCCTTCCCATTCATTAATGACACCATCTGGAGTTCGATCACAATAGGATAAAAATGTTGCAGATTATAACAGGATAAATAAGAGCAAATTAATATGCTGTTAGTTTCTAAGCACATCATGAAGTTGAATATTCATTCTTATAAAGCTTGTTTGTGCTTCGATTGGCTTTAGAGCTTACACATCATGTTAGGTTCTCTTATTTGCATTTCCCAAAATTTAGTTGTTGTCTGACATATATTCATATGTAACACAAAACATCTACAGTAGTCGAGATTTTCAGATAAGATGGGAGTCGCAGTGAGTAAGCATAGCTGTGTAGGCTTCTTGTTAGAAGCTTGTCTAAAGTAGTTCTTTGCCAGCAGTCAATGAATAAAATTTGCAATATATATGTCTGCTTCTCTGGGTAGTAGAATTATTCGCTGAAGTAGTCCAAATAAGAAGTAAAAGATTTGAACCTCGTATAACAAGAATGTTCCCAGTTTCTTGTGCAGTTGTTAACAGATGATGCTATAAGGTTTTTACTTTAATATCACAGAAATTGTTGAGGCTTGTCAACAAAAAAAGGCATGATACTGTAGTTACATTCCTTCTCATTGGAGGTCGCTAATGTTTTTTTTTTTTTTCTGTTAGGTTGGTATAGAAAATTTTCTAACTGGGTATCGAGGCTTAATGTGGCGACTGGAGCAGTTTGTACATTTTTTTTGTTTTGACTTTTACTGGATATAAGGAATAGAGGTGGGGTCATCCCTGGACCCTGGATGCAAGACAAATACATGTGAATGTTTTGGGTGTACCATCATTGTATTTAGGGTTTGGGGGTACTAATTTAGTTGTTTATTAACCTGGTATTTGATGGAGAATAAATTATTCCTGGAAGTGGCGGCCAATAAACAGAGTCGTTGGGGTTTTACTTGGGTAATTGTTGATTAATCTCAGCTTTGCTATGCAATGCACGAGAATGTTGGGTTTTGTGTTAACTGCGCCTTCCATGCTGGCACATCCTACTGTTCGGTGAGTCATGAGGTTAATCATCCCGCTTCCCGGCACGTACCAAGTTATATTTTTCTCTTCCACGATGGTAAGCACGACTTCTTCTGTTGATTCAGCTTAATGTTTTTGCGATTGTATCAGGACTAAGCCTATTTTTCCCAGTTTTCATCAAAGAGGAATTGATATACATATCAAAAAAAGGAATTTATCTTGCATGCGTCCCTGTGTATTTTTTTTTGGGGGGCAAGTGTGGTCGTGTGGTTGTACGTGAGTTGACAGTAGTGCACAGTGAGTTTCAGTGTTTGCTTTGACTTGGTTCAGAATCCTCCATCTGGACGATGGGTTCTGGCGTTCTGCACTTCTGCGATTGGGAATGACCCATGAATGTCTCCCTGGTTCTCTGCTTGCACAAGGAGCTAGAGGAAACATGCAATTTGTTCCAGAGGCAGCACCAGACCTACCTGGTGATGGTATTGCACAATGATACGCACTCTGGAGCGTACGGCCGCACGTAGGTGTCAGCCTGCTCCCTCCTTTCCTGCAAATGCAATGCTTTAGCTTTTTCTTGTTTCTTCCCTTGTCCCTCTCACTCAGCATTATCGCTCTTGGGCTATTGACGGTTTGACACTTGATTCCCCTTCCGTTGGTCATGATTAAAAGAGTACTAACAGATCTCAGGCATCTCGAGGTGGTCACTGCTGCTGTTCTCTCTCGTCTCATTAGTCCAAATCCAGATTAATGCACATGTCGTCACTGCACAAGTTGTAGAAGTAGTAGCACGATGCAGGTCAATAAACTATGCTGCTTGCACGCTCTACTCTGGAGTACTCTGTAGGTCAACTTATGGGCAAAGCAGCGGATCACAAGCTTCTTCCACGCATGTCTCCACGATGCCTTGCATTTTCTGCCACAAGTGCATTAGATTCTCCGGCCATTCACAACCAACTCGTGCTAGGCAGCCTGCAGGTCAAACATCCTATCTCGTTGATTTTTACAAAGGCGTATTTCTTTATTTCAAAACATTAAATCTTGTGTACATTAAACCTGTGTTTTTTTAAAATCATAAGAGCAGGTACAATAGCAGGCTATAAGCCAACTGCAAACATATTTTAAGAAGATAAATTAGGAGAGAGAAGAGTAGCGAGCTACAGATTTGTAGTTAGCTGTAGCACAGACTCCAAGATACAGTGTGTCTATTACAGGTGGGACTAGATATTAATAGTGTAGTATATAACTGTTGTATGAATGAGCTATTAGATTGGTTATAGATGAATTGGAGGTTGTAGTTGCAGCAATTGAATTCTGATCCAAAAGATCGATTTGAATCCAGAGCAGAAACTTCGAGTCTGCCTCTTTATCAGTACTAGTGCAGAAAACATTGCTGCACATCGCCATAACCTTAATGGATGGCAGCAGTAGCTATTTTACGAGTTGTAACTGTCTAGTGCTGCAGCTGCTACAATGGCCGAGCAACTGTAACTTTCGCCAACAAAATTGATTGCTGCTGCCTGTTGGGAATTCCCTTCCTTTGGAATAAAGCTTCCCGACAATCTTCTTTCTTTACTAGTACTAGCACACCACTGTTTTGATCTGACTCTTGTGCTTAATCCAAAATGTAATTCTGTTTCTTCAGGGCCTCTTGTAGCTGTAAGTGAGTACTCCCTCCGTTCAAAAAAAAAAAAAGACAAAAAAAAAAGACAAACCTTAGGTTTCCGTGTCTCATGTTTGACCGTCCGTCTTATTTGAAAAAATATAAAAAAAATTAAAAAGACAAGTTAAGCATAAAGTATCAATCATGTTTTATCATCTAACAATAATAAAAATACTAATTATAAAATAATTTCATATAAGACGGATAGTGAAACGTTGGACACGAAAATCCAGGGTTTGTTTTTTTGTTACGGAAGGAGCAGTGCTCAATTGTACTCCATGTACTAGTGGCAGTGATAATCAATTAAAGCTACACATTGTTAGGTGAGACAATTGTACAGGTTTTGTTTAAGCCCCATTGCACAGGACAAACGATTGTACTACTACTAGTAGAGTAGTATCATTCATGGCTACATTGATCTTTTCACTGTACCGTTTTCCACTACTAATAGGACAAGCACTAGATGGTTACATTAAGGGCGATTTAATTAAGAGATTTAAAGCAGTAGCTAGGAGTACTAATTACTTGGTACTGGGGTGTGTTTAGTTCGCGAAAAAAAAAATTTAAGGGTATCACATCGGACGTTTGACCGGATGTCGGAAGGGGTTTTCGGACATGAATGAGAAAACTAATTTCATAACTCGCCTAAAAACCACAAAACGAATTTATTAAGCCTAATTAATTAGTTAATATAGCAATTATGGCTAATCATAGATTAATTATGCTTAAAAGATTCGTCTCGCGATTTTCATACAAATTGTGCAATTAGTTTTTTAATTTGTCTATATTTAATGCTCTATGCATGTATTTAAAGATTCGATATAATGTTTTTTTGAACTAAACAAGCTCTTAGTGCTACTCCACCTTGTGCAAATTTACAGCATACTCAGGTAAACTTGATTTATACAAGGAATTTTTTGGCACAGGCATGAGGAATAATAATACTACTAGTATTACCCACAAGAAATTACAGCTTACCATTCTAGACTAATTAACTGAAGAAGAGGAACAAAATGGAAATATATTGCTACTAGTATATCGGATAATTCGATTCCGAATGCAGCTTCGGGGGCCCACCTGCTCAGTGGCCGGCCAATGCCACCGGAGTTGCGGCCGCCGCCGCCGCCGGCGCGTGCCTCCTCCGGCCGCTGCTCCCGCCGTTGGCCCAGAAGCACCCGGCGGTCGTCGCGTCCGCCGCCGTGCCACCCGCCATCTTCGCCGCCGCCGTCGTCGCCGGCTCCGACTTGCACCTCGGTAGCACCAGTGGCCGCGCCGACGAGCACCTCATGTCCTCCTCGTCGTAGTCGTCGTCGTCGTCGACGTCTTCCTCTTCTTCTTCCCTCACCTCCTCTTGCTCTTGCACGGATGCCATCTCTTCTTGCCTCTCCTCGTGCTGCGCTTCCGCCGCCGCCGACGCCTTCTGCGACTTGCGGGGAGAGGGCGCGGCGATCTCCGCGGCGGCGGCGGCGTCCTTGGTCGGCGAGGGCGCGGCGGCGACGGGGAACCTGGAGGTGAGCGGGGACGAGCGGTTCTGTGGCGCGGAGCGGCAGCGCATGAGGAGGAGCGCGTTCTTGGGCGGCGTGGTGGTCGCCGACGAGACGAGCTCCGCTTCCTCCTCCTCCTCCTCTTCGTCCTCCTCCTTGTCGTCGCCGCCGCCATTGATCCCAAGCCGCTCCGCTTCCTCGCCCTCCAACGATCTGAAGACTCCTCCCGCGGAGGCCTCCATCTCCTCGTCCTCCTCGGCGTGCTCTCCCCTCGGATCCGGCTGCTTGGGCGCGGCGGCGACGGCCACGTCCCTGCTGCTAAACACCCACGGCGAGCGGCGGCTCCTCTCTACCACCTCCGGCGACGGCGCCTTCGGACGCCGCCTCCGGTCGAAGTCGAACAGGCCGCCGCAGAGGAACGCCTTCTTGAGGCACCGGCAGTAACCCCTCCCCTTCTCCGGCGCCGCCACCTTGCTCGCCGCCGCCGCCTTCTTCCCCTTCTTCCCCTTCCGCATCCGCACCTGGCCAATGCAGGTCACCTTGGGCGACGAGGGCTCCCCGTCCGCCGCCGCCGCCGCGGCGCGCCCGGCGCCGCCCCGGCCACGCGACACGAACATCGGCGACGTCGCCGGGGCGCGGCGGGAGCGGCCGCCACCGCCTCCTCGCCGGCTCTTGCTGAGCAGAAGCCGCGCCAGCCCCGGCGGCGCCGGCAGCTGCTTCTCCGCGCGCCCGGGGCTCGCCGCCGGCGGCTTCATCGTCGCGACGCGTTCACACTTGACGCACGATGACACGAAGCGAGGGGGGGGACACGAAGGAAAGGGAAGCTTATAGCTGCGGGAAGATTAGGCTGTGAAGGAGTGTGATTAGTCAGAAGGCTAATCGTGATTAGTGCTTGGGTGATTAATTAGGAGTGGTCTTAGGATTCGCTCGCCTTTGCTGCTTGGTTGATGTGGACATGGTGCACTGGACCATGCAATATTGGTTTGGTTTGGTTTTGTGTGTGATGTGATGGATGTGTCATGTGTGAGATTCTAGTTTACAATGCTCTGCTGGACTGCTGGTCATGTCATTCTTCTAAATCCTTCAACAGAATTCTATGCATGGGACTAAAACTTTTAAGTCCCTATCACATCGGATGTTTGAAAATTAATTATAAATATTAAACGTAGACTATTAATAAAACCCATCTATAATCTTGGACTAATTTGCGAGACGAATCTAATGAGCCTAATTAATCCATGATTAGCCTATGTGATGCTACAGTAAACATTCTCTAATTATAGATTAATTAGGCTTAAAAAATTTGTCTCGTGAATTAGCTTTTATTTATGTAATTAGTTTTGTAAGTAGTCTATATTTAATACTCTAAATTAGTGTCTAAAGACATGGACTAAAGTTAAGTCCCTGGATCTAAAACACCACCTCACTCCTACTCCCAGTAAAATATACTGTACTCCCTCCTCTTCAAAATATAAAAAAAACCTGTGATATTTTCTTAAGAAAAGATGTGATATTCTTCGTTACTGTCCAGATTCATAGTATAAAAAAATATCACAATTTTGGACGGAGGAAGTAGCAACTTTTGACCTACAAAATTTATCTCAAAATATAACAACCACATAATTTTTTTTCTCAACCAATTATAACTTTCCACCATTCAAATGACGTACGCACCTCCTTTTCTCAATCCAATCACAATATTTTTTTTCATTTAATTTTACTAGCTCTTAATATCATTTCCATTTAACGGAGGTAACACTAAGTAGCGGTAATCTTTCGAAAAATTTACTATAAATATTAAGGTTGTGTTCTTAAGTCAATGTTTTTGACTTCATCTCACTCGTTTTCAGCGTGCACATTTCCTAAACTGCTAAACGATAAATTTTTTTACAAAAAATCTATAGGAAAATTGTTTTAAAAATCATATTAATATATCTTTTAAGTTTTTAGCTAATGCTCGATTAATCATGCGCTAATGAGTGCTTTGTTTTGCATGTTGGAGAGGATGGATTTCCAACCCCTCCTCCTGAACACACCCTAACTCCTTCGTTTTGATTACTTGATATTTTACTATTTAATTTTTATCAAATTATTGGTATTTCTCATATTCTAAAGTAAATTTATAATTGTCTTCCATCTTTACCGTTCATCAACACAGTTATATACTCCATCCATCCCCAAATACAAGAAATTCAAATATTCAAATTTTGTTCTCAAATTTAAGTAGGTGTCACATCAATCACTTTTTATTTAAATCTCTCCCACTTACCCTCAACCACCATTTCACTCACTATATACTCTTATTTAATAAGTCATTGTAGCCAAAAAAAATCAAAATACTAAAAACAACATAGGATTCCTTATATTTGTGCACGAAAGAAGTACCAGTTAGGCCCCCTTGAATCAAAGGAAAAACTATAGGAATTCTAGAGGATTTTATCCTATGAGAAATAATCCCATAGGGTCCTTTGAAACAAAGGATTGTTTCCTATCAATTCCTTTGAAATTCATATGGAATGAACCTTACTAGAGCAATTTTGGAGGAAAATAAGCATGAGGTCTCACCTCATGTTTTCCTCTTCATGTGTCTAAGGTTCCTGCGTTTTTCCTGTATGCTAATCAAACGACAGTTTGAAGACTTTCCTGTGTTTCAAAATCCTATGGGAATCCAATAAGTGTGGCATTTAATTTCTACGTTTTTTCTATTCCTCTGTTTTTTCAATCCTGCGATTCAAAGGGGCCCTGGGTAACATAGTAGTTTATCGTATCTTTGCTGTTTGATGTGAAATTTGTTACGAACAACAAATAATTTGAAATTCTTTACTACAGTTACATTTAAAATTAATCCTTGGATATGGATTGAATGAATAGCTCATTCATACAAGGAAAAAGATGTATCCATTCATGAGTTTGATTTGAACATTTATTGCAAGGGTTTCGTGAGTACTAGAATTGCTGAGAGGTGGGGCCCACAGAGAGTCCATGGGCCGGGTCCACACATTGGCTCTGACTACTCCCTCCATGTGAGTGAGTGAGGCCCATTTAGTTCCTAAACAGAATTTTTTCACGTGACACATGCATGAATTATTAGATATGGAAAAAAATCAATTACGCAGTTCACCAGAAAATTGCGAGACAAATCTTTTAAGTCTAATTGAGCCATGATTTGATAATATGGTAAACATTTGCTAATGACAGATTAATTAGACTTAATAAATTTATCTCGCAGTTTCCTGTCAAAATATGTAATTTGTTTTATTATTAGACTACGTTTAATACTTTAAATGTGTGTCTGTATATCCGGTGTGACATACAGAGGCAAAAATTTTTTTTGCCAACTACTCCCTCCGTCCCATAAAAAACTAATCTAGTATTGGATGTGACATATCCTAGTACTACGAATCTGGATATACCTCTGTCCAGATTCATATTGTATTAGAATATGTCACATCCAGTTCTAGGTTTGATTTTCCCTGCACGGAGGGAGTACATGAGTTGTACTGGCAAGACAACACAGCAGAGGGATGTGATTTGAGGATTCTTTCTTTGCCCTCTTCTTCTTCTTTCATTTGCTGGGCATCCATCCATCCTTTGCTTCTTTTTCCTCTGCTTTGCTGATTTCCATGTCACAGACTACTCCACACTGCAGCACAGAGGTCATTTCACTTCACTTCACATCAATCCATCTCATTCATCATCCATGGCCTCTCTCTCTATCACGAGGATGCTGGAAAAAGGAGAGGAAATGCTTGCTATATGGACCCCCAATGGTATTGCATTTTCAGTTCCATATACGTGCGGTTGGCACAACTAATTTTAGATGTTAATAAGCCTCGGCTAATTTCCCTACACATTGACACAAAGTTATATATAGAGCAATGTGATTTATTAGTGGAATGGATGTATCAAAATAAAGGAATGCATATCTTGGTTAGTTTGAATTGGATGAATAATGGCTATGCAAAACATTAGTGTCGTATTTGTAAAATGGTAACCATAGATATTAGATTGAATGTCTTTTAGTCACTTATTTATCTTTACTAACTTACAAGTGTATAAGTGTATAGATACATTGGCCCCTGCCAAAATATGCTGGTCGTAGGCATGTGGCTTTTTTTTTCCTGATTTCCTATATTTTTATAGCGGTTGCATGCCTCATGTTGTGTTATATTGCGCAACCTATTAAGGACTTTTTTAGTGTCTGGATGGCTCATTTTGTGTCTTGATGGATAGCCAATCGAGGCCATTGGAGTGAGAGACTAAGTTTCACGTGAAAAAAATTAAATACCTTAAGGCCCCCTTTGATTCAAAAGAAATTCATAGGAATTTTAAATGATTTCATTCCTATAGAATTTTTTCCTATATACCTCTTTGAATCAAAGGAATGAATCCTATGGAATCCTATAAAATTCCTATGGAATGCCTATTGACATGCAAGTTTTAGAGGAAATCTAGCATGAGGTTCTACCTCATGGAAATTTTCCTATGAGTCTTCATCGCTCCTCTAATTCCTGCATTTTTCCTGCGGTCCAATCAAACGATCATTCATGTGTTTTTTCTGTGTTTTGCAATCCTCTGTTTTACACTTGCATTCATATCAGAATCCTGCGTTTTTCCTATTCCTACGTTTTTTCAATCTTGTGATTCAAAAGGGCCCTAAAATATTTAGATTTAAATTTATGTATTAGTCAGTGCACTAAGGAGACTAGAGCGAACCTCGGTTGATATTATAATTTATGTACAACATAAAGAAACATATGCCTACACATATATAATCACATCCTATTTAAGCTGTTCAACCGTATTCCTTTACAGAGCCTACTCAAAATGAATCTGTTTTCCCCCCTACTTCCATCATACTGCCACACTCTTCTGACTAGTGAGTTTCATGAACCATGAATATCATGGAACCATGGGTTCTCATAGCATAAAATGGTTGCATCCATGATAAGATGGAGGCATAGAAACACCTAGTGTTAAAACAAAACAAAATAAAATAAAATAAAGGGGGGGCATTGCAGTTGCACGAGTGGTGAATCAGCCATGGCAGCTTTACCTCTCCACACGTCGTTTGCTGATGGCTAGTAGGTCGCTGCACGCATGCATTGCAAACCCAAATGTAGTGGTGGTCAGTGTGGATGCTGCTGCTGCTGATTGTTTAATTATTTTTGGGTGTCAGGTGATCGAGCGAAATGCATCTGAGTGCGTGTGAGCTCTGAGCTGTTGCCATGTGGATCTCCTTGTCTGGGGATCTGAATTTGTGTGTTTCTCTCTCTGTGTTTTCATCATATATGAGATCCTGATCTGAGCTTTTCTCTCTCTCTTTTTTTAAATAATCGTTCACTTGACCTTGAATAATGCCCAAGTAGTGGTGCTTCCTCAGCAAGCTTGCTTGCTGACAGAATTTGAGAATCTGTGTTTGAATTGGAATATGTTGGGGACCAACATTTGAATTGGGACCTTGTTTTGGAGATTAGAGTGCTAGGAGTACTAGTTTAAAAGGTAGAGACAAAAGGCATAACAACGAACATCATTCTACCTCTTAATCGACTTCATAAATGCTATTATTTCCTCTGGTCAAATATATTTGACTTTGGAGTCTGTATATTTTCTTCGAAATCCAAGAGCGCCAAACTGAGATTATTATCACCATAGGGCATTGATTGCTGAATCTAAAGGACTTCGGTGTTATATTATTTTCTATCAGCTTCTTTACTAGTAGATTATTTGCTCCATGTTTCTAAAAATATATTTTTGAAAAATATTTTTAAATGATTTTTTCAAACCACTTGTTCCAAGCTATTTAATAAGTTTATTTCCAAAGATATTTATTTATTCCTATAATTAAGTATATAATTCATGAAGATAATCTGATGAATAATTTATTTTTAAATTGGACCTTTGGTTGTGCTAACAAACTCGGAAAAGAAAAAGATCAATCAAAGGCTACCTTAAATTGTGATGAAACATTGTACTACTAGTCAGTACCAAGCTAAGTTTTGGACGAAATGCAAAATTAATGGATAAA